CCGGTCTCGGCCTTGGATGGGTTCCGGTTCCTTACTGTTCTTGTGGCGGTCTCGAGCTCTGAAGTTATCATCTTGAGTTTACCCATAGCGTAAGCGTTTTTGATGGAGTTTTGTAGCTTCTGGCCACCGGAAGCTGCAGTGTACTGTTGAAGTATATACTGAGCAGATGAAGTTTCCTGCAAGATAACAAGAAATCAGTGAACGATCAACAGTAAAGTCTTAAACTTTAAAACTTGTTTATAATCTAATAAATTACTAAATTAGTTCAATATGCTCCAATAGTCGTAAAACATCAAATCCCACCATTGAAAATGACGTCAATTTCCACCAACCAACGACCAATGAAAACATTCCGAAGAAAGAAAATTCGTTTTTTTTTTAAACAACCACTGAGATTTGAAAATCATAAATTTGTATAGTGAGGAAGAAGAAAAACAAAATCGACGACTGAGATCTTTAGTATCAATGTACGGATTTGTGTTTCATCAACTTTAAAATCTGGAAAAAGATGACATTAACGAATAATCTGAGCTCGAGTGAGAGAGAGAGAGAGACTAACGATTGGGGTGTTTTTGATGCTAAGATGAGGGAGAGGATCGGAGGAAGAGACATGAATCGGAGCAAGAGGAGCTCCCATAACTCCGAGGAGAACTCTCAGATCATTCCTCCGGTAAGCAGCCGTCGCAGCGACCGACGGAGCGCGAGAGAGCTGTCCCTTGACCCAGTGACCTAGACCCGACCCGAGTCGCTTAGATTCTCCTATATTCCCTCCTCCTCCTTCTTCGTCTGGATCAGGACCTTCCATTACGGGTCTCAAGCTTCCGGATCTCCCGATTAACATCTCCGGCTGCTCCAGATAGTACCCGCCGCCGCCGCCGGTTAAGTTCTTTCTCCCCCAGGTGAGAGCTGACATGGGAGAGCTAGACCGAGCTGGGCTAACGGAGCGAGACCTTGTCCTCGAACGTGACGGCGAGAGACCTCTCACAACTTCGTGCCTCAGAGCAGAGAAGAAACCTTGCTTTTTCTCCATTTCAACACTCTGTTTTCTCTCTTCTTCGTCGTAACGTTAAGCTTAATTTACGAAAATAAAAAAGACGTTTAACGGAAAAAACCTCAAGAGGCAGAGAGAAAAGATCTCAGAGAGGAGAGATAACTGATTTATGAGTGAGTCGCGCAGTGGAGAGAGAGAGAGTTTTTAACCTTTTTTAAGAACGGAGAAGGAAAGCGAAACGAGAAGGAGAGAGAAAGACAGTGATCTCCGGGTGTGTTAAATGACCATTTTACCCTCTACTTGATCTTGGAATTTCCAATTGAGGAAAGACACGCGCTATCTGACAACACACGCGCCTAGGGTATATTCTTTCCAACCTGGCTACGCATGAGAGACACGTGGAAGGAGAGACACGGCGAGTTTGGAGAGTTAACGGTACTCGCGGTGGTGTTTGAGGTTTTGTAGGGTTGCGCCGTTAAGGATGGTGGAGGATCTATTTTTTATGTTTTCCTTTTTAACAGTTTTCGTTAAGTTTCAGGAATAAAGGACAGTGTCGTTAAGGTCACAGTGAAAAAAAAGAAAGAGAGAAAGTGGCAGCGGTAAATTAGGGAGAGGTTTGTTACTTTTTTAACCTGCAGCCTAATATTCTCATCTTGCCATTTTCTTTAGGAAAACAAGAAAACAAATTCTCATGCAATTCATTCTTCTGTACCGTCTTCAAAACATTTCTATAAATGTTCTTGTCAAAAAATGTCGGCCTCGTCTGAATTGGACCAATTGGTTGGTATACAAATTGTTTTCTGTCAATGGTTATAAATTCCATTTTTCTTCGTTTTTGATTCTATTATTTAAACGCCAAAAAAAAACTCTGAAATGGTTATATTAATTGTTTAAACGACAAAATAGCCATTCCAAAAATTGACCATCTAATGTTTTATATTCCATCTGAACACAAACGCTCTAAAAAACCATAGTATATAAAAAGCGTTTGAACACAATCAAATACGTTTGAGTATCCGTTTTTCGAAGCACTAGTTGTTCCATAAATTTGTTGTTTAATTGTATAAGTTTCATGTAAATTTGATTGTGGGTAACTATACGCAGAGGACATTAGATGAGTATCATGAGTTAATTTATTTTACTATATATATCTCGATGTAAAGGGGTTGAATTTTATTACTATTTGAGTAGTGTGTTTCTTCAAGAGAAAGGAACAAAAAAGAGGTCTTAAGAGAGAGTTCCTTCTTTATCCGACAGAGAGAACAACCATTTGTGTGTGTTTTCATTGACCAATTGCGTAAAGAGAGCAACTCTTCCATATACATGTTTCTACTATAAAAGAAAATGTAATCTATGTACTGTTAACACTTTCGTTCTGTAATGTGATAATGATTGAACACACTCCTCACATCAACGTGCTTATGGCATAATGTGAATATAGTTTAGCTTCATGTATAATCCATGATATAAAATAGTAGAGCTTCCACATTAACATTATGAACCTCGCAAGTTGCAAGAAAATATTTAACTTCTTCTTTATATCACTTGAAAAAAGTCTATATGGCTACACTCAGTTCAAAACGGACGAAGCAGTTAATACAACTAGAAGTAGAAATCAATTCTATTATTCTATAACGAATTGATCAAGTCACGTGTACAAAGAAAATTTAATTATAGTAAGCGTAGAACACTGACATTGGTTAAATATAAAAAATTAATTAATTGAAGCTAATTGGAAGTGTGAGCTATAGCCTGTAGCTTCAATAAAAAAAGGGTGGATGTAAAACTGGCAATAGTTGCCCTGTTCGCTTTGCAGTTTCTAACAGTCATCGATCAATGAATTAATCTTCGTACTTGCTAGTTGCTAGTTCAACTATACATAAGTTTTGGCGAAAAGGACATGTTTTAACGATCGAATATTATTTGTTTCATAGTTGTCGGTTTAATAGGATGTTAATTTAGGGTTACCCTCTACAAGAATTAGTGTTGAAAATGTTTAGGCGCTAGTTTGTTGACTTGAAACATGTCATTTAAAAAGTTGTTTATAATAACAAATTATGAATTTAATCGTTGTCACTATGGTCGCTAGAGACTGCAAAACAGATAGTAACAAATAAACCTTGATTGTTAATGCCAATGACAACGAAACAAACATAGCGAGTAAATCATACCCGAACTCTAAACAGCTAAGAAAAAATCGTCTAATAATATTTAGTGTATACTATTTAGTTTTGGTAGTATACTATTTAATTTCCAAAAAAATAACCATCATTTTTGTTTGCAGGAAGAAATCATGAATGTTCATTATAATCTCCTTTTTGTAATTTTTTTTTTTGTTGAACCACAACAGATTAATTAGCTCATTAGCCTGTTACCTCATTGTAGGGGAACCCAATTTCTCTATTATATATGTTGGTTCTTGGTGGACTTATTGTATAACAAACACTTCTGGTAATCTCTATTTTAAAGTTTGTGTGTGTGTTTAGGATTTACGGACTGTGTTTAATGTCTCGTATACAGTCGTTATTAAGGTAGTAATTTTCTAACTTAGTAATGTCTGCCTCATCCCATGTGATGATAAATTTGTAGTCTTTGAGGTTTAACGGACGTATTATTCTCTTTGAATTATTAATTTCACTTTTAATTAATGATTGATTTAGATAGTTTATAACTAGGACTCCGAGTCTCCGAGTCCGAGGCATGCATTCACACACTAGCATGCACCCCACCATACAAGGAAGAGACTGTACATTTGCGTACTTGTGAAGGATCAAGGATATAGTCTTAACCAATAACCAGAAGAAAAAAAATTAGATCATTACCGGATGGAAACTCAATGTTTGTATGATTAAACATTAACTTGCTTGTCTAAGAATTAATACAAATGTTCGAAGGTGAATTACTCCAGAATCCAGATAGAGATGATTTTAAAATGTGTGACGAGAAGGTGTTATAAACTTTTGATCAACAATAGTAGGAATAGTAAATAATTATCTGATGATGGTAGTTAATGTGATCCTAGTTAATAACGTTTGAAGCGTGAGGATTACAAGGACAAGCAGCACGTGAATGTCTTTGAAATTCGTTTTTGAATGGTCAAAAGAGCAAAGAAGAGAAGAAAATAAAAAAACGCAGACGCGTTAACTTTTTCAGTGTGATAGTGGTTACAGCTAAGGTAGGACTTATTTAAAAGTATAAAAAAATTCTGGGTCGATGGAAATATTAAAATTGTCTTTTGAAATTAATAATGACGCATATTTGTGTACTAAAAATTCGATGGTAGGGACATTTAGTCCCACGTGTAACTCTGTAGTACTAATATTGGTCGTTCTTAAAGACGAAGTGGTTGTCCTTGTAATTAAGAAAACAATCTTTAACTTTTCATTAATTCATTTTACTACTAAAGTTACGTTATTAACTAATTAAAAAAAAAGTTCTATGAGAAGAGTACGAAACCAAAGTATATTGGTCACCCAGATGGCCAAACATATAGTGGACTTAGATTTTGATAAGGAACCCAACAAGTCAGCAACTATTTCAAGTTGGCATCCAAACGATTACAAATTTACAAGTAGGTATTCAATTAACTTTTTAGTATTTAGGAGTTCAAGTTTCAGAATCGAACTTTATATAATGTAATATAGTTTCATAAAATCTAAACTAATTTCTTCTAAGCATATATTTGAACTACCCGACTAAGTTCCATTAAAGCCAAAACAAAATTTTATAATCAGCTTAACTAGCCGTCTTCCTACATAAGAATAATATTTTCATAGTTAAATTCCTTTCATTTTTTAAAACTAATCAACAACTTTCATATTTATCCACAGCATAGCTCCCTTGGAAACAAATAACTTCATCAAGCTTGATATGAGAAAGGAAATTAAGAAGCGTTCAAAACCTTAACATCTTTTTAACAAAAAAAAATTATTCAACTAATAGAGAAGTGCATGCATGCAAATGCATGTTATTATTGTAAAAACACTCAAGTAAAGGAAACGAAACTGAACTAAGGGCACTTGGGTTTGCCCTTGGAGCTAAGCATGTCTCGATAGCAAGGGCACTGATGCTTGTTGCCAAAGGTACCAGAAGGAACACACTTACATTGTCTGCAACAAATGCCACAATACTTGAGACATCTGTCTTGAAACCCTGCCTTTGCACACCTTCCTCTACATCTACTGGCACAGTATACCCTCATGCCTCCTCTTCCTCCTGAATTTGTTCCATTTAAACATTCATATAATATTAAAAATATGATAACCTATATATATATATATGTACAGTATATATGCCTTTTAAAATGATCAAGCAACTCATTTGAATGTATTTGGCTCTAATATTCAATTCAGAATTATTGTCAACAATAAATGGATTAGTATTTCATGCCTTTTACATACTAGTGGTTGGTCCTTCTCTTCTCACTTCTCACCTTGGACGTATATTTCTAACAAAATTGATCTCATTTTACCATAGCACGAAATGATATATATGCCTATGTACGAGCATTCCTTGTGTTGCTTTTGTCTTGGATTTAATATATTTCCTTGACTTGCGCTAAATTAACAGGGGCTAGGATAAATATAATAATATATATATATACAACCAACTTGCCATTTCTTTTCAACTGATGAACTTCTAATGGGGTTTCTTGTTGTAAAATTACATCATCATAAAAAAACTTCGATACTTTCTGGTAAGTCTAATATATAATTATATTCTATGCATGACTATATGTTAGAGAGATCAGGAGATGCATGCGTACATACCAAGAGCAGCTGTGGCGGGAAAAAGCATGAAGGGAACAATGAGAATAGCGAAGAGGAAGAAGAAAGTAACAGCTCTCTTACAATCCATTGTTGCTTTCTGCAGTTTTTTTAAAAAGTACTAAAACCCTAAATCCTTACTTGTATTAAGAGAATTGAAGGTTTTTTTTCTTTTTCTTCCTGGTGGTACTTTTTAAGAACAAGCTATTGATCGAGAAGCGACATGAGATTCATTTATAGAAAGCATAAAATTACCACCGCCTTAGCCTCTCTGCCGAAATAAATGTATTGAATATAGTAGTATAAACGTGGCAAATCAAACTGTTCGGCCATTGTGATTCTTGAAATGGCTGCAATCTTCATACGTCGATGTGTTCGATGATGTCTCTACTCTTTTTAACTCTCTCTCTTTATTTCGTCCTACCGCTTTCAACAACGCGACACATAGGTTCATCATAACAAGCATAAGCGTTAAGAGTCATGACATTGACATCTATACCCCATAGTTACTATATCTATATGATATTACCGTTAATTTAAGCTAAAAATAAGCAATTGTCGTCTTAATATTGTAGTGATCAAATATAAGTAGTAGGGATTAGGAATATATTATAGCTCTTTTGGTTAGTGTCAATGACGCATTATATAATTTCTTAATTTATATATATAGCAGCGGCTGTAAATCCAAGAGAACAGTCTAAAATTGGTTAGTTTATGCCCTATTAAATAGTGTTCTGATCCCCTTGTAATCTAGTCTAAATAAAAATACTGATCTACGAAGACTAAGGAAGATCCAAAACTTCGCGAAAACAAGAAAGACAAAAAAAATCTACATAACTAATAAGCTTTGGGACACTCTCCAGCTGGGTATACGTGGCACCCTTTTTTTGTTTTCTCCCTAACACCAAAATGACGTCGTTTTGCGCTTTATCTTTTTTTTTTTTTTTTTTTTCCCGTCTTACACCAAAATAACGTCGTTTTGTGTCTCTCCCACTTGAACGACGTCGTTTTCGTAGAAAAAAAAAAAATCAAAATCAAAATTATGTGTAATGCTATTCATTTTGATGGGCTTGATTATTTATCAGACTTCTTCGTTTCCATGATAGCTTTAAATGGGCTTACTGGCTAATTAGCTCATTTCATTTCCTTTTAAAAAAGATTATAATTATTATCGAGAAGATTCCTTTTTGTATATATCATATTTTTGGTAAATGTTTTCGGGTTAACAAAACCAGCATCGGCAACCACTAAATCTCTAATATTCTTATGACCAGCATTAAAATGTAAACAAACGATATGATTTTTGGTGATTCACTTTACTTCGTTTGTAATGTGACTTTCCAAGGTTTTTGGTGCCTTCGGTTGGAGGTAGAAGATGGATGCTTCTTATTGCTTAGCCTTGCGAAAATGTAAGCACAAGTAACTTTATTATCCCTAGCAGCTTCGTACTACTAGGAAACTTTTGACACTCCAGACATTGCTCTAACTTCTTAAGCAATAGAAGCTACTATGAAGAATAAAAGCTTACTTCAAATTGTTTCCCCATGGATTATCACGGAGGTGCAGGTTGCTGAAGTAAATCTGGATATCCATCCATACTTGAGATATTCATATGTATTGAGTTGTGTATTCTTTTACCTCAGTTCATGTCGTTGAACATTACTAGACCTTCAAGGATGATTGTTTTATTTGATCTTCTCTTCATACTTAGATGTGTTATAAAACACTTGCTCTGTTTTTAGTTTCTGGCTGTATGAAAAATTACAAGGAAAAAACTAAAAAATTGACTATATTCAATGTGTATTACCTCAGTAGCTTGCTGCGAATAGGAGACATGTTAGTAAGATGTGAGGGCCAAATCGCGTAAGGATCCGAGTCAAATATAAATTCTTTTGTCAAATGATATCAAATATGATATCAAGTATATGTGATCGCATAACTTAAATAGGCAACTCAATCGTTAATCATTCCTAGGTTTAATGTGAATAATCTTAACTTACGTCATCCCTGTAAGATAATAATCAGTCTATAATGATTGTTAGTATAAGGAAAATTAGAAGAACTCAATTCCAATTGATAAATTATTGTATAAAAGAACAAAAAACATATGAAACTATTCACTATGAGTCTATATAAGATTTCACGTAAATAACAACTAAATTTTAAAACTATATGAAAAAAAAACAAAATGCAAAACTTACAGAATCTAATATATTCGAGTAGAAAACAAATGATATATTGGAATCTAATGTTCTGAATAATTAAATTAAAAATATTTGGTTCTCTCTCCTAGTATACATAATTTATTCCTGTGTATAATTTGCATGACTGATAAATACAAGTGTGGATTTCACATGTGTACATGGAGCTAACTATTGGATATAAATGGGCTACACTAGAAGGCCCAATATAATCATAGTAAAGCCCAAAGATGAGCAAACTCGCACCGTTTGTTCGTCCTCTTTTTCTGGGCGAAATCCAATGAGCCTTTTTCCACTCATCTTTTCTTCTTCTTTCTCTCTCTCACCAACTCAACCACCGAGAGTTTCTTCTAAATTCGCTGTTATTGGAACATTTCGCGGGCGAGGGAAAAAGGTATATGTTCCTCATGTGCTTTGCTTTTGCCGCTTGTTTTTTTTTCTTCAGACGTTTTGATCATCGCGGGAAAAGTTAAGTCGGCGGGAAAAAATCAATCTGACATTAACAAGCTTTCTGGGTTGGTTTATGGATTCCTAGGAAAATCTGGAAATTATGTTGATTTCGTAGCTTCGCATTGTAGGGTTCTCGGAATTTTTTTGCTTTTGCCCTTTTGGGTTTCTATCGACTGTCTCCCATCTCACATCGTTTTAGCTTAGATTAGTTTTTTCGGATGTTTTCTCAGAAACCAAATTAACGATCGATCTAACAAGAATCAAATCCCAGAGAAGAATCTCGAAGCTGCCAATTTTTTTGCTTTGTGGGTTGTTTATTTGTTCTGCTTGCGTTTGCTTATATTGATTCTGATCTATGCAATTTGAATCACGAATCTGATATACGTCTTTTGTGTTGTTTTTTTCGCGTCTCTGTTTAATCAGTGAATAAGCTGGATACATGTTTTAAAAATCTCAGCAAGTATTTAACCTCGCGGATTTAGAAGCGGTTTAAGATTAAGAAAATGCATAGAGCTGATAGACGGAGAAGGAGGAGTAGTGGATCTGGCTTGGAGCAGACAAATGGAGATTGCGGAGGAGAGGTTAATCCAACTGTTGACAAAGCATCCGAACAAAGCAATGTAGAGGGAACACCAAACGTTGGAAACGAAAATGGACATATGCGTGAGGAAACGGTGGAGAAAGGAAAGGGCATATCCAATGGGTTTTCTGGTGAAGAGGAGAAACCGACCCCTGTAACTGCAAAGAAGAGATCTGGTAACAGATCTTCAGGACCGCATCGGGAACTTGTCCTTGGTCTTCCTTGTAAAGGACAATTTGAAATCTTTCGGTCCAGGAATGCAGCCTCGAGCTCGAAGAAGCTAGGTGGAGGTGGTGGTGAAAGGAATGTGCAGTTATCTAGTCACAAGAGAGCTCAGAGATCTAAAGAAGCTGTTGCATCATCTTCTGTTGATGCTAATCCCACACCTGTAGATAGACCAAAGAAAAGGAAGAAGGCGATCAAGAAAGGAAAAGTTATAGAAGATGACGAGTACACAAGAATCAAGAAGAAACTTCGGTATTTATTAAACCGGATTAACTACGAGCAAAGCCTTATTGATGCCTATTCTTTAGAAGGCTGGAAAGGTTCAAGGTTTGTCTCTCGGTCTATGACATTTGTGTTTTTTTCTCTCCTGATTTCACTTGGTGTTGTTTTTGAAATGAGGAATTATGTGTTGTTTGTAGCATGGAAAAGCTAAGGCCAGAGAAAGAGCTTGAACGAGCCACAAAGGAAATTCTGCGACGCAAGGTTAAAATTAGAGATCTTTTTCAGTACCTGGACACGCTCTGTGCTGAAGGAAGCCTCCCAGAATCGTTATTTGATTCTGATGGAAAGATTTCTAGTGAGGATGTAAGAGAAACTCTAGCTTTTGTTTGTTCCCTTGTTTTTGTTGAGAAGAAGGAGTTTTTGTCCCTAGAAATGTAGCTAATTCGAACAGTTGTTTAATCGCAGATCTTCTGTGCAAAATGTGGTTCAGAGGACTTGTCTGTTGATAATGATATCATACTATGCGATGGCTTTTGTGACCGAGGCTTTCACCAAAACTGTGTTGAACCACCTTTGCGAAAAGAAGATAGTAATAATCTCTGGCCAACTTACTTTGTTGTTTCTTAAGCTGTTCTTGCTGGTATTTGTTAATGACCGATATGTTCGTTTTAATCTTTGTAGTTCCTCCGGATGATGAGAGTTGGTTATGCCCCGCATGTGATTGCAAAGATGACAGCTTTGTGTTGCTTAATGATTCTTTAGGGACAAAACTCTCGGTCAGCGACAGTTGGGAGGTATGTATGTCAATGTTTGTTATTGTTAGAAGGGAGAACAAACGTAAAAAGACACATCATGACTCGACTCTTTGTGCAGAAAGTGTTTCCTGAGGCAGCAGCAGCAATGGCTGGTGGAGATCAGAACCTGAACTGTGATCTTCCTTCCGATGATTCTGATGATGAAGAGTATGCTCCGGATGGGTTGAACGATGATGAAAATGATGAAGATGGCAGTGACGACAGTGACGAGTCTGAGAAGGAAGATGGAAGTTCTGATGAATCTGATTTCTCATCTGCATCTGACGAAATGATCGCATCGTTAAAAGAAACCAAAGATATAATGGCCCTTCCATCTGATGATTCTGAGGATGATGACTATGATCCTGATGCCCCGGTTCAAGATGAAGATAAGACGCAAGGAAGTTCAAATTCAGATTGTTCATCAGACTCTGAGGATCTTGAAACTTCCCTTAACGGCGACGAGTCTAATCAAACGCCACGTGGGAAACCCGGAAGAAAGAAGTCCCAGCTCCCAGATGTTTCCAGTTCCGAAGCAGATGATGGCCTTGATCAAGATCTTGAAGATGCTCCGGGGAGGAGGAAGGTTGAAAGGCTGGACTACAAAAAGTTGTATGATGTGAGTATGCTCTCACGTTTTCCGAAAATTCATCTTCTATTTGGTGTTGGCAAATCCTATACTGACATCTATCTTCTATCGTGTGGTATGTGCAGGAGGAATATGAGAATGTTCCGACTTCATCGAGTGATGATGAAGATTGGGATAAAACTGCAGGGAAAGAAGATTACGAGTCAGGAGATGAAATGGAGACTGTACCTCTGAAACAGTCTTCAAAAGCAGAAGATCATACTTCTACTAAGAAACCCAGAGAGAAGTTGAAAAGAGCAAACAACAAGGATAATTCTTTGAAAGCGCCACAACAAGAAGCATCCAGAGAAAATGGTTATTCCGGCGGCAAAAGCAGCTCTTCAGCTAATAAACAGGTGAAAAAGATAGTTTAAAGATGCCAATACGAAACCATTTATGAGAGAGCTTTCCGTTTAACGATTATTCTTTTATATGCAGAGACTACTCAAGTCTTTTGAAGAGAATCGATATCCAGACATTACCACTAGGGAGGGCTTAGCCAAAGAGCTACAAATGACGGTAAAACAAGTAAGCAATTAATCTCCTAGTGAATGGTTGTTTATTTGTTTTCACTTTTAGTCGATACAGTTTCCTCTCTGCTAACAAGCTGTTTATTTTGTGTAGGTTACTACCTGGTTTGTTAATACACGCTTTTCGACAAGCAAAAAGATGGTTTCAGAGGAAGTCGTTGATAAGTTAAAAGCAGGTAAGGAAGGCGAAGGTGAGACATCTGTTGCCGGAAGTAGCGAACAAGTCATGGAAACTGAGGCAGTGACAGAGAATAAGAGTAGAGCATTAGAATCAACCAATACTCGATCAAGTAAAAGAATGAGAAGGTAGATTTAGATTCAATTATTCATGAAGGTTTTAGGCAAAAAGAAAGAAATACATCTTCAAGAAATTGGAGGATAGGGTACATTTTTAACAGTTTTGTTGAGAATTTGTCTTGTGATTTATGTAAGTTGTTGCTTGTTTCCAACATGATAGATTTTGACATAAAAACTTTTTTGGTTATGGTTTGTGTAATCCATAGATACCGGTTTAAAAATCAATTGATATTGGTCTCGAAAAACCGGTTTGCAAAAAGTCATGAAGTAAATAAGTTATAACCGGTTTGAAAATGTCTTCATTAAGAAAAGCCCAATTTGATATACAAAAGCCCATAAAAAGTCTCATTGATAACATAGTAGAGTCCGGACTTGGTAACGTGTTGCAGAAGGTAGAAGAAAATGAAGAAGGTGCTGAGAGTATACGGTGGCGTTTTGAGGCTAGTGCGGCTTTTGCCGGCGGACACGAGGCCGTACTACGCCAAGTACGCCAGGGAGAATTTCGTTAATTACCGTGAAGTCGACCAAAGCGAAACATCCCTTGACGAACTCTTCCAACGAGCCTACAATCACTCACTCTGGATACTCAACAAGGTACGAAGATTCTTGATTATTGCTGTTGTTCATGTCGCAGATTCTGGGTACCCTTTGTGTCAATTATCTATTTTTAACTGTTTGCAGTATTCGATTGACGAATCGAAGGCGAATGAGTTGAAAGAGATCTGTTTTGAATGATGACGCACACAATGTGTTCGACGATATGTCCCTCAGAATTTCGAACATTTTAAGGCTTTGACGATTTGTTAAATGGATACCAGCAGTTTTCGACTTTTGATTTCAGATTCTTCAACTTTACTTAGCTATATCAAGAACAAAGGTCGGTCATGTGTCTTTTTCTTTCCTTTTGTTCTCTTGACTCCACAATTTGGTCATGTGACTCATGTCTTGTTTGAGTAGCTGCTTGTTTGTTTGCATGTTCCTGAATAAATTGTAATGAATTTACATTCCAAGTCAAAAAATCTCAATACTTAAAAAAAAATCATTTTCTAGTAATAAAAAAAAAAAATGAAACTTCATCCAGCAAAGAAGCAGTGGTAGTGAAGTGATAACGAACAAAAGTAGGGATTGTTTGGGTAAGTCATAGATACACAGTAACGATTAGTCTTACACCTAAGAGACTTTAGGTCCTTGTCGGGAACTCGAAAATGTTACATGAAACAAACCTAAACAAACCAAAGTGTGTCTTAAGATTGCTTTTGGTCCTGAATAGTTAGTTATAAAGGATGAAAAGCAACAAGTTGGACTTGGTTAATTTTATGGAAAATTTGACCTTCCTCTTATCAGTCTTATGGTTTTATTTGATTAATGGTGACCAACTCGTGAAGTTGTGTGTTTCTTCTCACACGTGTTTGCAGTCTCTGCACGCGTCAAACCTGGTACATGTCAGTATGTAAAAATTTCTTCCTTCCTTCTTTGTTAGTTTAATATAGTATCTGCAGTTTTATGTGAAGCCACAGTGTCAGTATGATAATTACATCAATGATAAACATGATAATGGCAATTTCTTACAAAATTGTATGGGTTTGGTAATACTAGAGTTGAACAATGGATAGTATGAATATGTGTGTGAGTGTGACATTTATTATTATTTGTCTTGCTTAGCTTCCAGAAAGAGAAAAAAAGAAAGAAAGCAGCAGTTACTATGAGAGAAAAAAAGGTGAGAAACATCAGCTTCGAGTAAATCAAAAACTACAGTTTCCTCGGGCCAGGTGGCTTTGACCGAATTTCTCTTTAGATTTCTAAATTCCCTTTCTACCCCTCCATTAACAAGTTACAAGTATCATCATCATCCATCAATCAACATTTCAACACTATAATCACTTTATTTTACTCTAATTTATACGGCAGGTTTGTTCAATTGCTATAAGTTATAACTCTTATCGATTGTTTAGAGTCTAAAGTTATACAAGCAATGGTTGCATATCCATTCTTATATTCATCAGAAATATCCATGGAAATTGATTACCATTATCAACAAAAGTATATCAATCAATCTTTTAAGTACTTTTGTTATTATTCACATGGTTGTGTTAAAAAAAAATATTTATTTTATATATGAATAAATACATCAGCAATCAGGCAAATTAACCAGTTATAAGAGGAGCCTAAAAAGGTAAAGAGGACACATTTTAGCAACAACTTTCTTCTGGTTTATGTTCCTCACTTTCTCTCATTTTCTTTCTTCAACGAAAAAACAAGAAAATTCGATATGGGAGATACCGCAGAGGATCAGGACGGCCGACCTACGGTGGAGGCTGCCGGTGTCACAAGCTTCTCCGAGCTTCTTATGTTGTCAGACGCAGGCATTCTCAGCTCCTCCGACCACCACGCCAAAGATAACGCCGACGGTGAGAAAGACGACTTTGGTTTTGTATTCTCCGGTGCAAATGGGACAAGAATGCTCTGTTTTAGCGGAGGCTACCAAAACGACGTCGAATCGCTCTTCTTGGAACCTTGTAACCTCTCCGGAGTCTCTCTTCCTGACCCTTCATGCATTATTAGTAGTAGCGACTGCAAGAACTCTAACGACGCCTGTACGGTCGATATAGCTCCTAAACCATCAAAGGTAAGTCTCTGATCTCGGATTCTTATTCGTATTTCATCAATGTCTTGCATAGTTGCATGCAAAGAATTACAACATTTTTTTCTTCGATTTCTCTTGCGACTTCTCAGCAAAGATTAATGGTGTTTTTTTTGTTTGTTACTGTGATGTGAAGAAGAAGAGAACCGGGTCGGTTAATGGGCAAAAGCCGGATGATGACAGAAAACCGGTCAAGAAAGGAAAGCGAAATCAGGATAAATCATCACTTGGAATTGCAAAGGTGTGGCAATTAAAAACAAAATTACATTTCTGTATTCACCACAATGGTGTTGATTTTCTTTTTACTCAACCATAATTTTATGTGTTTTTAATGTTAATCCATTATTAAAAAATAGGTAAGGAAAGAAAGATTAGGGGAAAGAATTACAGCGTTGCAGCAATTGGTTTCTCCGTACGGCAAGGTAATTTTTTTTTATCTCTTCTTGTTCTTTTATAAAGATTTTCCATATTTAAGAAAATTATGAATTTGTGAAGTGAAGTGAAGATTTTTTGGAATATTTTGTTTTGAATATAATATTTATATTTAGTTTTTCCAAAAGGAAGCTTAAGAAGTCGCGATTTTGGGTTAGTGTAGCTTAATGGGGCATCCAATGTGAAAATCAAAAAGACATCAAAGACAATGAAACTTGATCAATAAATTAAAGTATACAGTAGTACAGTATTTGTTTGTTTTTTTTTGGTTAATTAACAGTCATCATTACAATTTACATTAATGATATGTGTACATTTTTGAGAGGGGTAAAAGAGAATATCAATTTTGAGACCCTAATTTGACTTTTCTGACAGAATTTTAATTTTCAAATATCGACAGACAGATGCAGCTTCAGTGCTGCATGAAGCGATGGGTTACATCAAATTCTTACAAGACCAGATTCAAGTCCTTTGCTCTCCTTATCTAATCAACTATTCTCATGTAAGTCAAGTCTCCCTATCCAATCAACTATTTTCTTACTTTTTAAGTTTTAACCAACAGTTAATGATATTTCTTACTTGCCGGTGACATCTGACAGGACGATGAAATGATCACCGGAGATATTAAGCCGGGGAAGAAAACGAGAGACTTAAGAAGCAGAGGATTATGTCTAGTACCTATCTCATCCACCGTACACGTGGAGAACTCAAACGGCGCTGATTTCTGGTCACCTGCTACGATGGGTTGTCACACTACGTCACCGTCAACGCATCAAGGATATTAATTACCGTCGTCCAAGGCCGATATATATCTATATATATAATATTAAATTAGTAGCCTCTTTCCTTTTCGGTTTAGCTGAAGAACAAGTAAAAGAAGAAGTGCTTTAAGAAGTTTTCACACCCGATTTTTTGGTTTTTTTAGCTCTATCTGGTGTGTGGGTGGTATAAAAAAAAAAATGTTGAATCTTTTGTGTTTATAACAAGTTGTCTCAATGCTTCTAATGTTGTTTATGTTCTCAGTGGAAATGTGAGGCTAAAGACTAGTCACGCGCCTAAAATGTAGTAATGTCACCAAACCACATCACTCACTTGAGTTGGGACGTGCAAAACGTTTTTTTTTTGTTCTCCATTTACACAAAGCCAAAACGAAAAAAGTTCCAAATTATAGTAAACAATTTGGTTTATCTCAGTACTGTCGAAAGATTGGAAAATTTATATAAACGTTAATCCAATTTGCCATTATTAATAAGGATTAGATTGTAAAATCACCAGATTTTGAGGATATTTTGCCAAAATCAAACTCCTTCATTGGCCACCAGTAATCTCTCAGTACTTCGCCGGACTGCCGGAGATTTTTCACTCTCTCTCTTCCTCTCCAGTCTCCACCTCCAAATTCTCCCTTTCTCCGGTGTTCGCCGATGGCTGTGTTGCCTATCGGCTCTCACTTTGCGCCGCCGCATCAGTTGACGAAGAGACACGCCGTCGCGACTTCACCCCCAATCTCTCTCTCGGCCCGATTCCCGCAAAATGTCTCCTTTTCGAAAGTATCTGGAATTGCAGGCTCGAGCTTGTCCAGATATGGTGTTCTCGCGAGGGCCGAGGATAAGATAAAGAGCTCTTCTTCTTCTCCTTCTCTCGAAGATCAACCTCAACCAATCGATGATGAGGTTCGAGTTTTCCTCTACATCTGAAAGTAAAGTTTTGTTTTTCAAGTGTAATTGCAATTCAAAAGGAATTTGGATGATCCACAGGATATGATGGACTCAGGATCATGTGACCCTATATGCTCAGTTGATGAACCCAGTTCGAGTTACTTTGAGGCGAATTATCAGCCAAAGACAGATATAGTCAAAGCTATTGCTGTTTTTGCAGCAGCTCTTACAGGAACAGCTGCCATTAATCATTCTTGGGTCGCTGCTAATCAGGTTAAGATTTTTCTGCAACTTTATGTTTCAGACTCAGAATGCAGACTAACTTAACAGAGCTATCTGTGGACAATGTCATGATACACAGGATGTTGCTATGGCGTTGTTGTTTGGAATAGGATACATTGGAATCATCTTCGAAGAGTCTTTATCATTTAATAAAAGTGGGATTGGACTTTTGATGGCTGTGAGTTTGTGGGTTGTGCGGAGCATAGGGGTAAGAGAATGTACATTGAAATTTTTCTATCTGATGGTTAAGAAATCTACATGAAAACTTGTTGGAATTTTTACTTGGTACAGGCTCCTTCAACTGAAGTAGCTGTTTCAGAGCTTCAACATGCATCAGCTGAAGTTAGTGAAATAGTATTCTTTTTGCTGGGGGCAATGACCATTGTGGAGATAGTTGATGCTCACCAAGGGTTTAAGCTTGTTACAGACAATATCACCACTCGGAAGCCAAAGACACTTTTATGGGTGGTAGGCTGATTCATTCTCTTCTTCTTCTTCTTTTTACTGATGGGAATGATCTTTACTCTTTTGTTGACTTATGGTGTCTCTCAGGTCGGCTTTGTGACCTTTTTCCTCAGTTCGATTCTAGACAATCTGACCTCTACCATTGTCATGGTTTCTCTACTGAGGAAACTTGTTCCTCCATCAGAATACCGCAAGTATGGAGACCTTTTTCCTTCACGCTCCTATTAGTTAGTTTCTTGGTTAAGTTGTTCACAGTGAGAATCATACTAGATATTATAGATCTTAAGATTCTCAAGGAAACATATTGGCCATGTGTCAAGGCATAGATTTTTGAGCTCTTTTACCCGTTACTGTAATACTCTGTTTTGTTCTGTTCCGCATTAGTATCACATTAACGTTAGTGTGCTCAATGGCAGACTTCTAGGAGCTGTAGTGGTAATAGCGGCAAATGCAGGAGGAGCATGGACTCCAATTGGTGATGTCACGACAACTATGCTATGGATTCATGGTCAGATAACCACCTTGCCTACTATGCAGGTTCGTTCTCCTTCTCTTCTGAGATAATAATCACATAATGTTATAGACATAAGTGGCTAAAAGTATTTCTCTGATGGAAGTTTAATTGTTTTCCTTTCAGGGCCTGTTTATACCTTCGGCCATTTCCCTTGCTGTTCCACTAGCCCTCATGTCCTTGACCAGGTTATAAATTCCGACTATGTTTGGCTTCAACTGTCTTGTAAAATGTTTGCACCGCGGAGGCTGATTGATGTAAGTTTGTGTTTCTCTTCTTCTAGTGAGGTAAATGGAAAGGGACAGGATTCTTCAGATGTATTGACCTCTGAGAAGATGGCTCCGAGAGGGAAGCTAGTCTTCGGAGTTGGTCTTGGAGCACTGGTTTTTGTACCGGTCTTTAAGGCTCTAACCGGATTGCCTCCTTACATGGGTATCTTGCTGGGTCTCGGTGTTCTCTGGATCTTGACAGATGCCATTCATTACGGTGAATCAGAAAGACAAAAGCTCAAAGTACCTCAGGCCTTATCTCGAATCGACACGCAAGGCGCTCTGTTTTTCCTCGGCATTCTTTTATCCATTAGCAGGTGTTATATTTCTCTCAACTCTTATGTTCCATTACTCTCATGAATTTGATATCTTTTGTCATGTTTCTCTTTCCTTTGTTGTTTTTTCTAGCCTTGAGGCAGCTGGGATCCTCCGGGAGATTGCAAACTACCTTGACGCTAATATACCCAACGTTGAGCTCATTGCAAGTGCCATTGGTGTTGTATCAGCAATCATTGACAATGTTCCACTGGTTGCAGCCACTATGGGGATGTACGATCTCACATCGTTCCCTCAAGATTCCGAATTTTGGCAGCTCATTGCTTTCTGCGCCGGCACTGGTGGTTCGATGCTCATCATCGGATCTGCTGCTGGTGTTGCCTTCATGGGGATGGAGAAAATCGATTTCTTTTGGTACTTCCGAAAGGTAAGATAACACTTCTTCTGGCTCGTTTAAAGCTCAACTTTAACTTCTCTGAAGAATCTGAGCAAGAAGAAAGTTCGGTTTCTGTTTACTCTCCATGCAGGTTAGTGGTTTTGCTTTCGCTGGCTATGCTGCTGGCATCGCAGCTTATCTGGCAGCTCATAGTCTCCAGCTGTCTCTTCCGACGACCGTCGCTCAGATCCCTTTTCTCCCTGGTTCCTAGGCTGCATAAACCAAAAGCAGGCTGCAATAATAATACATCACTTCGTCGACATTGTTCCTTAGGAAGAGGAAAAAGAATCAGCTATATAATTTGTTTTCATATACACTCTCGATTGTATCAGTAATACAGAGTTAATCAAACCAATAAGATTATGTCCATTTCGAGCTTCTATGTGCATCTATGGAGAGTATAAAAGAGTGACTATAGTTTGAGGAAAACAAACTCTTCAATGGCGGAAATGTCTCCGATTCTCTTCAAAGTCTCTTTGCTTGGTTGTTCATCTACTCCAATAGCCATCACCGCTTGCTTCCCCGGAGCTATTCGACCGACGCTCATGAAGCTCACGTTCACGTTCTCATCTCCTAAAATGCTACCAACTCTACCGATCATCCCAGGCTGATCAACTTGCCTGCACAGAATCACACTCCCTTCTAAACTCACATCAACTCCAAACAACCCCACTTTGGTCAGACTTGGAACACCTTGCTTCACTCTGCCTTCCACTTTGATCTCTCCCGACGCAGATAACGCGCTGGCGAATCTTGATTCCACGTTTGCGATGCAAACAGTTATGTACTCGATTGGATTCTCAGGGGAGCCGTCTAGAACCATGCGTTCCTCCGAGATTTTGACTCCTCGTTGTTTAGCTACGTAGTCCGAGTTAACCAGGTTTATGAACACGCTGGAAATCGGCTCGATGATTCCCTTTATCACCATTGCACGGAGCAGCCTCGTGTCGAGATCATCCGGTGATCTTGAAGACGCGTAAGTCACTTTCACAGCATTCACGCCGCTTCCACCTGTTACCAATTGAACCGCCAGCCTCCCAAGCTTCTCCGCCAGCACCACATACGGTTTCAGCTCCCTCAACACCTGAAAGAGAAATTGCAACTTGAGGAGACTTTTGACAAAATCATAATCACTTCTTGGAGCATCACCAAGTCTGAAAGTTACCTCAGGTGGAACCATTGGTGCATTGACCGCTGTAGCTGCAAGTTCTCCTTGCAAAGCTCCAACAACAGCTTCTGCAATCTCTATAGCCACTCCTTCCTAGACACATTCAGGTAAAAAGTTTTAATTTTCTAACACAAAACCTCAAACATAGAGAGTAATGGCAAAAACTAAAAACCTGAGCCTCCATAGTACTGGCACCAAGATGAGGCGTGGCAGTGACACTCTCATGCAACACCAACTTGTTATCCTTAACAGGCGGCTCCACCGTGAAAACATCAAGAGCCGCCTGAGCAACGATCCCCGAATCAAGCGCCCTCAACAGAGCTTCCTCGTCGATAACTCCACCACGAGCAACGTTGACAATACGAACCCCTCTCTTCATCCTCGCAAACGTCTCATCGTTCAGCATCTTCGACGTAGCAGCGGTGAGAGGCAAATGCAGAGAGATGAAGTCCGCGTTTGAGATAGCTACTTCGAAGCTAACCAGCTCCACACCGATGGCTCTCGCACGATCCGCCGGCGCGTAAGGATCATGTGTGATGACATGCATCCCAAGCCCTCTGGCTCGTCTAGCAACCTCTGATCCAACTTTACCGAATCCAAGAACCGCAAGCGTCTTCCCCACAAGCGAAACGCCCACGTATTTGCTCCTCATCCACTTGCCTGCAACAAACCACTCGCAATTTCTTAATTGAACATGGCATTGCCCAATTTTTGTTTCTTCTTATCAATTCGATTGATTCTAATCGGGAAGCTCACCAGATTTGATAGAAGCATCAGCTTGAGCGACATTCCTAGCCATGGCGGTTAAAAGCGCGATCCCGTGCTCGGCAGCAGCCACCGTGTTCGCAGTCGGAGCATTGACAACCAAACAGCCGTACTCCGTCGCAGCAGCTAAATCGACGTTATCGATCCCGACCCCGGCGCGTCCCACGACCTTAAGCCTCCCGCGCGACGACTCGAACACGTCTCTCCCGACTTTCGTGCCGCTCCTCACGATCAGCGCGTCGCAGAGGGAGATCTTCGTGCAGAGCTCCTCGAGGCTCAGATCATAAGAGCAATCCACGTTGGCGAACTTTCTCAGAAGGTCTATCCCCGCTTGGCCGAGCTTCTCCGCCACGAGAATCGTCGGTTTTCCTCCACCTCCGGCGCTGGACGTGACGACGATGATCCGACGCCGATTGAGTTCCTTCCGTCGAGTGGGAAAGATTGAGTGAGTGGTAGATAGCTTCGAGGAGAAGACCGATGAGAGGCTCAGAGGCGTCGTCGCCATCAGCGGTGGCGGGAATGTAAGTAACGGTGTATGTATCGTCGGCAACAACAGAGTATTGTATAGAATCTATAGATATGGTTTTGGGCGGGTTTTGTGGGGTTTTAATATGTTGGCGATGGATTGCGCCAGATTCTTCTTTGTCCACTTTCCCATATCTTCACTGCTTGGTTGATTTTGACTCTTTGAGTCAGACACTACAAAAAAAAAGGTGTGTTAAATCATTTGTTTTCTTTATTTGTATCAGTTAAAAATGATATAAATACAATTTACATCACTTATAAAAATGACTGCAATTGCTGTGATGCAAATAATTAGTATCAATTTATTTAGAATTGATGTAAATATGCTAATATTTGCATCAATTATTATAATTGATGTATATATGTATCAATTTCAAATATTGATGCTAAATTTTGTATTAGTTATCATAAATGATGTTAAATATTTACATTAATTATTTATTGATGTTAAAGTTAATATCAATTTTCATAGCGTATTTTGTAAAAAAAAATTAATAAGAAAATTATTTATTTAAACAATTTTCATCATTATATTTTCATGAATTATTATTTTTGTTATAGCAAAAATCGTTTCTAGTATCTATTAAAATCTTAACAAGATGATTAAAATCAAAACTTATTGAGATGATTTTTATTAATTAATCCATTAAGATAACAAAACAAATCTTGATCTACAAAACTCAAATAAAATAACAAAATCAAACATAATTAATATAGAATTCAATCACCATTCTTACAACAAAAGAAAAAAAGATCAAGGCTAAGAACAAAGATCACAATTGAATTGGCTTCAAGTCTTCTTCTTTGCTCCAAGATTGTAGGTTATGTTTCTTTTCTTCGACTTCTATGATTCAGATTCTGAAAAAAGAAAAATAAAAAAAATTAATAAAGTACTTACTACCCTTTATAACTTGATAAAAGAAACGAAAAAACATTACATTAGAGCAATTATACATACCAAAAGTTAGAATCTGTTAACACATTCAATGAATAGAAAATTTAGTGGAAAGGAACCGACAGAAAAAAAAACAGAGAATTAGTATGACGTTGAGATAATTGCAAACAGAAAGAGAAACCATAAACTTCTCTCTTGCAATTGGTAAGTAACGACATGAGGAGATTTAAAGGTTAGTGAGTATCATGAGTTTTAAATATGAAGGGATGACGATGAACCCTAAGAAAAAAAGAGAGAAAAGAGATTAGATAAATTTCTAAGTAGAGGGTGAGGAAAGAAAGTTTGTTCTCGTTTGGTTGAAAGCAAAGTGTAAAAACTGCAGAGATTAGATGGTAGAACGTGATTAATGGGGAGAGATTTTAGGGATTTTAGTTATTATTTACATAACAGTTAATTTGCAGATTTATTTCACATGGCATTTAATATTAACGTGATTAATAGTAGTTTTTTTCCTACGTGATTAATATTAGTTAGCATCATTTTAAACTGATGTTAGTTTTGTATCATTTTATAAAATGATGTTAATAGAAATTAGTAAATATATCAATTATTTAACCGATGTAAGTATTACATCACTTAAATAGTATCAGAGGAAAACATTAATATATTTCACATTTCTTTTTAAAAAATTGAGCCGTTTTTTGAAAATAATAATAAAAAAAAAGTCAGAAAGTTTTGAAAAGTACAAAAAGGGTTTTAATTTTATGTTGATTATTAATAATAAATATTTCTAAAATCATTTACTGATCATTTTAACAAGAAGTGATCAACATAACATTTTTTTATATAAATCTCCAAATCAGGTCAAAAGTCAAAACCATATTTTCTGAGTTGTGCTACAAGAAACAATTTGCCACAAAGCAGATGAAGCTAAAAAGGGCTAATAATATTCTGAGCAAGATACACAAAAAGGCAGAAACGAATCTCAGACGCAGAAACAAAACCTAATAAGCAAACAGAAAGAAATGAACGAAAATCTGTACTGCGGTTCACTCTTTTCCGGTTTGACCATACTCTTTGTAAAGAAGCAATCCCAGTAATGGCTCCTTGTCGTGTGTTTGTAATTAGTCTGGTGAACAATTCGGCTCTTGTAAGTTCACCTGCAGAGCTACTACCAAGATATGAGATGGTTTCACTAAACTCTCACTTTACAAATACAAACTTTTTGGATATGAACACAAGGTTTAGTATTTTTCTTTGAGACAAAAGACTTACTTACCTACTGATATTTCTTCTCTTTGCTTACGGGGATGGGAATCTTCCTTGAGATACTTCGGATGAGTTTAGAGGTTGAGTTCAGTTTATCATCAATGTGTTCTTGGAACTCCTCGTAGACGATAGGAACAGAGAGACTCAGAAGAATCCCTGTGAGATAAAAAAAAAAAAAAACAGAGACGTATGGTTGAAAACAAATCACTCATAACAAGGAAGATCATACAATATATAACCCACAAGAAAAAAATGTGAAAAATGCTCACCAATGTAGACAAGAGTGAGTGAGTTGATTAAAGTCCCCACATAGGATACAGCCCACAAGACTAATGATACCTATATCACAGCAAACAAAAAAAAACCAACGACATGTGATTATGTGAACCTCGTAAGCAAAATTATCCAGACTCGAAAAGGATACAACATACAGTTTCCACAAAAAGATTAGACTATGACCTGAAGGAGACGAATGGGGTTTCTAGCAATGGTGATATCACTTGCAATTGAGAGTACATGGTTGATCCAAACCCGAAGATCATCAGCAGCCTTCACCGCAAACTCCTCAGGGATTTCCATATTCGGAACTGGTGGTAGAGGTCTGCAACAATACCCATCCGTAGTTTAGTCATAAGAACACATTAGTTATTTAACAAACAAACTACTATCGACAAAATCCACCAATGCCGCATAAAGGTTTCATAACAAAAGCAGAAATTTACCGGTTGAGTACAGTAGCAGACTTGGCCCATAAGAAGAGGATGGCAACAAGAAGAAGCACAACATTGGAGACGAACGACAAGAGATTGTATCCAGCTCTCTCGAACAGGAACCAAAACCCAGTTGATGAGACTAGCAATATCATTGCACCACTCCGGTTTCTCCATAGCACCAAATCCGCAACTGCATAACCAAGAGCATTCAATTTCAAGTTAAGCATTATTTGGTTTAATTGACGCGTCGAGAGATTCGTAATAAATACACCAAATGGTTTGAAACGTATTTCATACTTTAATGACAGTTTATAAACTTCCCCAAATGCGCAAAAACTCTAAATCGAACAAAACCCTAAAACATAACAGATCAACCCACAACTACAGCAATCAACGCAAAAAAACCACAATTAAATCAACAATTATCAATGATTCTACAATGAATCTAGAGTGAAAAATCGAAGAATCCCGATTTTCGAGAGACAATGCGAGGAAAACCAAATTGGGCTGAGAGGAAACAGAAAGAAGATGCAATCACCTAAACCACCACCAAGAGATTGGTGAACAGAGACGCGGGATGAAGAAGCGGAATCTCCCATGGCGAATCTCAGTTAGGGTTCTTCCGCATAGAGTTTCAAGGCAAAATCAGAACGAAATACGAATCGATATCTTCAATTTGGAAGATTGGAGAGAGACACGCTTCGTGGATTACCGAACACAACGCACTGCTTTGGACTAATCGTGCCTGCTATACCAAAAGATCAAAGGTTTTCCTTTACGCTTCGGCGACAAAGTTTTAAGATTTTAACTATCTGAATATAAAAGTCGTATTTCTCTTTACACTGAACTTTTTTTTCTTTCTTTTGGCTAACTTTCTAACAAAAATAATAATTAGGAAGCCTAAAGTTTGGTTGGATATTAAAAGAAGACACCGAAATATTTCATTTTTTTCTTTTAATTACATCTATACTATTATTTGTAAATTGATTTGGAAGAATTAAGCTCTCTTATGTTAAAAAAGCTCTCTTATTCACACTCAAGTTTTAAATGTCTAAATTTTATAATTTCATAAACACTCAAACATGGCAGTGCTTGATGATGAAATGAAACCAACACATGAAAGAACAATTTCAAGCCATTTTCTGTTATTTTTCAAAAACGATTTTGAGGAATAAACTTCTTTTATAGTATAGATGTAATTAAATGTCTACACTTTCGAATTCGATAAACACTCAAACATGGAAGTTTTGATGATGAAATGAAACAAAATACATGAAAGAACAATTTCAAGCAATTTTCTGTTATTTTCTAAAACCATGGTCACTTACTAACATTGGTTTAATTGTTGATTTGGTTGTGAACAAGTCAGAAAGTTGTTCATATCTTTATCCGTTTATTCCTTAAAAAAAAAAAAAAAAAAAAAAAGACAGTGATAAAAATAAAATCAAGAATATATTACTTGGTACGTAAAACTTAACTCTGTTTTTTTCTTTCCGACATTTTTTTCTATTTTATATGATATGTGTAAATAACAACACGTTTACTTTGATTTCTTAGGATATCATTGCACAATTTAAGAAAATGACAGAATTCAAAATTTGTGAGCAAAAAGAGCAAATATTTTGGGAAGTAGGTTTTGTGAAGCTTTAATATAAACTAGACAAAAATGCATAAGCCTTACCATCTACAAGAGGGAGGCGAATTGACATTTACCTTCATATATGATATATCAAACTGGGAGAGTTAATTATTGATGTTGTGAAGAAGACAAAATGGAATCGTTCTATATATATTTTTTTTTTTCATCATCAAAAATACCTGATGATACCATCCAAAAGATATTCTACGTTACATCAAGTAACTAAAACTTGTTACAAAACGCAAAGGTCTTCCTTGAGTTGTGCTGAAGCCTGAAGGCACCAAATGTGTAGTAAATTCGCCAAAGCAGATTCGAGCCTCAAGCATAGATCAGAGAACATGCCCTCGTGATAAAACTTACACTCATCCACCGATCCCTCGATCCTGAGCTTCAAAGCAATGAGACGGTGCCCCATGCCAAAGTGCTCTTTCTTGAGCAAAGACAGACTTTGGAAATTATAACCATAATGGACTTCTAAATTCCACCTTTATCAAGAGGTAAGTAAACACCACAGAGAAAGCAAGACCAAATATATGGAATATCTAGATCAAGAGAAAGAAAATGAGCCATAATATGCTCGATGTCTTGTTGTAGAAGAGTGAGATATTGCAGCTGAAGTGTGGTTCTTTCAGGATCATTGAATGGTAGCTTTGAGTTGAAGCTCTTCATGTCCATGCAAAATGCAGGTGGCCTGTGGATGTCAAGCCGACACTGAGGGCAGAAATGAAGTGTACACAATGGACAACTAGCCGTGAAGGGGACCTTGTGTTTGTCTTCCTCTTCCAGCTGATATACCATGGGACAACCCTTACGAGGACAAGAGATAAGCTTATTCACTGAATTGTAAGTAGATGTAACAAGCTCTTCACAAGGAGGATGTATCCCCTCTACTAGAGGAACATTAGACTCCGAATCACGAGTAGCACATTTCTGGAGGTAAAACCTCTGGGGTTTGAATGCCATATGTGCATATGTTACTTAGATGACATATAAATGGATCATCCAAGGTGTTGGTTTCATGGATATTGTGCTTATTGGGTGCACTTTAGTTTTAGCCTTTGTCACCAAAACATGAGTTCTAAGTTCTTAACATTGACATGGATTTCTTCTTTTGGTCTAGCAACGTCACATCAGCAAAGTTTTGAACAAATACAAAATAGTATATCATCATTTTTTTATGAAATCCATTGAGTGATTTGGTTCCCCATGGATGTCATTCTCATCGCCAATAAATTTGTAATAATAACATAACACGGACAAACATATAGCAAACAAAAGCAAATCATCAAGACACGTATCATATACCTGAAAAAGAAAATTCTCTCAAAATCACTTCACAAATGATAATATAAGACAAATATATCAAAACAATAATATTGAGAATCATATATATTTTCTTTTTGGTATTGAGAATCATTCCGAGTTGAAAACGGTGATTATTCATAATGATTGCAACGAACCAAAGAAAAATTCACAAATTATGTATGCTCATATGAAAGAGAATCTTTACCAAAGCATTCGTTTTTGAACCATATAAAAAAAAAAGACACAACAAACATTTTTTTAGGACCTAGCATTTAGACATAACATAAAGCCCCCCCATCATAGATATTATTTTGTTCTCTCCAAAGTGACGTCCTTTAGTTTGTAGTTGCTGCAGCCTCCTCAACGAACTTGCTTCCGGCAACATCAACGACAAATCTGTAACGAACATCGTTCTTGCGAAGCCTCTCAAACGCAGTGTTAAGCTCATCTATCTTCACCACTTCAATCGTCGACGTAAGCCCTTTCTCTTTGCAGAATGCCAACACTTCCTCCGTCTCTTTAATGCTCCCAATAAAGCTCCCCGATATCACTTTCCTCCCTATAAAAAAAACCAAAAAAATAAAAATTTGCATCGATTTTGGTTGAAACTAGACATGATCCAAAACATGAAATACTAACCAAGAATGACGAGAGGGGTCATGAACTGAAGAGGAGTGTTGATAACACCCATGAGAATCAAGTTCCCGTCGAGTTTAAGACAAGCCAAGTAAGGCTCGAGAGGGTGAAAAACCGGTACGGTGTCGATGATATAGTCGAGAGAATCTGCGATTCTTTGCATCTCCGCTTGATCAGAGCTCACCACGTAGTCGTCAGCTCCTAAATGCTCCATTGCCTCTTCTCTTTTCTTCTCTGATGAGCTTATCACAGTCACGTGATGTCCCATTGCTTTAGCTATCTTCACACCCATGTGCCCTACTCCTCCTAGCCCTAGAATCCCTCCTTTGAGCCCGCTTTTCGTTAGACCGAAGTGGCTCAACGGACTGTAAACCGTTACTCCCGCGCACAGCAGAGGAGCAGCTTGTTCGACCTCCATTCCCTCCGGGATCTTCACAACAAACCTTATGAAAACAGAAAAAAATGTTGGAAAATTAGGTTTCTTGTGGAGCAAGAAAGCGATGCTACTATGTGCTGAAGTTTGTGTGTGTGCGTGCTTACTTCTGATGGACGACCATAGTGTCGGCGAAGCCACCTTGGGTAGGTTTGCCGTCGGTGTAGACATCGTTGTAACTCCAGATTTTCTTGTTACAGTACTGCTCAAGATCTGAGCTACAAGGTTTGCAGCTGCCGCAGCATCCAACGATCACGCCAACTCCGACGACATCTCCTACGGTGAACTTGCTCACATCGGATCCCACCTCCACCACCTCACCTACTACCTCGTGCCTGTAGATCAGATTTCATTTTAGCACTGTACAAGTTCACATTGTCTGGATTTTTTGTTTGCATATTCATTGAAAAGTATGTGAACGGATAGAAAAAAACAAAACTGTGAATCGTCAAATACAGTTGTGTGTGGTTATAAAGAAATGACAAATGTTGAACACATCCAATTTGTTTCTATCAATAAAGTCAACTTTAGACCAAAATCTCTTATCATAGCGGAAATCAACCAGCTTGTATGATACAAAAACACAACAAATTAATATATTGACAACCTAAGATTTTTTAATACACTAGCATTTTCATTTTTACACAGAACATGTGTATTCTTATTTTATTTAGTACAGTTTTCAATTAGATAAGAAGTGCTAATGAAACGGTTAAAATTGGCTTGTAGATGAAATCAATCGAGTTTTCAAGATGTTTTGATTTCAATTCCAATTCAGATTTTCAGGATGATATGTAACAAATTGCTCTAATATTAATAAGCTCCTTCATACTAGTGGGCAAAATCATTAACCTCATTCGTTCATAATGTACATTACTGATACATTATAAATATATTTGGACATTTTCAGAAGAAATTTCGTTATATTTCTTATGTACTGTCTGGCTTTGGAGTTATCGCACGCTAAGAAACAACCAAACTAGTCACGAGTGTTAAGTTATTTTTTCTTATGCAAAAAAATACACGTAACTCCCAAACAAAAACGTTTTAGTATATATGAGTGGATCTAAATTGAAGCCAATCAATAACTTCGAGATCAATATCAACAAATGAAAAGAAAATGATTTTTCAAAAGAGCAGAGAAATAAAAGAGAGAGAGAAAGAGAGTTTGAGAAGAAATTACCCAGGAACCATAGGATAATTGGACATTCCAAGATCATTTTTAATCTGGTGAATATCAGTATGGCAAATTCCACAGCATATAACCTTTATATACACATCATCTGCCCCTGTGCTCCTATTAACAAATCCGAGATTCAATATTCAATAAGTTCAATAACTTTCTGAGAGATAAAAAACCATATAATTTACATTAAAGATCGAAAATGTACTTATTTAAGAAGAAGAGGGAATCAAAAACCTTAAAGTGTAGGAGTAAGGAGAGAGGACACCAGAAGGATCTCTTGCAGCCCATCCAAGAGCCTTCTTTTCTCCTTCTACACTTCCCATTTTCTTTCTTGATTTCTCTGTTTTTTTCCCTCAAGTTTTAAAGAGCAGAGAAAAAAGTGCTGAGAGATTATGGGTCTATGGAAGCCTGACTTATAAAGGCACTCTATTGACATCTGTATTGTATACAAAGTAAATGGAGAAAATAGAAAATTTAATACCAAAAAAGAGTAGGAAGGAAGGAAATAAAATTGTCCAAAAAAGAGAAGGAAATTGCGATATTTTTTCATTTTTGGTGGTTGTGCCTTTCTAAATCAGTTAGCTAGACCACCAAACCTCTTATCATTTTATTTTTTCCCGGTGGCATAACCATTATTTATTATGTATATACAACAACCTACAAGTAAGGAGGGAATCGAACCAAACGAAAATAAACCTGGTTTTAGTTTGATAAGTTATATGACCAAAATTATAAGAAAGAAAATGAAACCAAACCAGTTAGAAGCAAACGCAATTAAGTCGAAATTACATATAACGACATCAAATTTATGGTCAGTCAGTTTCCAAAGTCCAAACCAAACCAAAACCGTAGATAAGTGAGTAAGGTCAAAACTAAACCAACCTCCAATAGAGATAAGAAAGAGTTGGACCACGGGTGGTCGTTGAAAACAAGAGATGGACAGCATAATTAATTTCTGGACATGCATATATATAGATATATGAATGATGAATCCATACATCTATGTATCTGTACAAATGCATATTATAAACTAGATGAGAAAGAGATATGACACACCATCAATTTAGGTGGATATTGTTTCTTTTCTTATGCACATAAATATTTCAACAAAACTGACTTTAATAGTAGATTTTTACAGATATTTTGTTGCTGGACTATCTTGTCGATTCTTTTAGTAAAAAATATTAGTACGCTGTAATGTTTGACTTTATTATAAAGTGATCGAATAAGTATTTATTTTGGTGAATGTTAAATGGATAATTTTAAATTTATGGATTACAAGAAATAATAGGATCAAACATTTGCATGTAGTTGGAAAAAGACGTTTGATCGCCAAGGAAGGGGAGTAGGTAAAGTACCTAAAGCGTGGTTGGTAAAGATTCCACGCTACTCTTACATTCTGAAGCCTATCCAATCATACAACGCCACGTCACCTACTTACGTTTCAGACAGGATAATTCACATTTGTGTTCACAGTAGACCAATCACTCTCTGCTTCGGTTAGGTACTGAATAATTCATATTGAGGTTAAAAGTTAAAACAGTTTTTTTTAGTTAACAACTTAACATTATCTAAAGAAGTTAGACCATCTCCAACCCCTCATGCCATATGTTATTGCAAATGGCAAAAATATAGCAATAGCATTGGGTTTCTCTCCAACCCCTCATGCCATATATCATGCTATAATTTTTTTCCAACTTATTATTAATTGTTAAAACTACTTGATTTCTTCAAATTTTACAAAGTGAATCATTTGTTTTTTTTTTTTGCAAAAACAACCAGAATTATATTTTTTTATTATTATAATATTAAAACAAAATACATCATATTACATAAAAATTATAGAAAACAAAGATTTTAACCTATTGTTTTATGTTTTTTGAATTTCAGTATTTTTAAAAATAAAATTTTAAGTTTATTATGGTTATGTTTTTATATTTCTATGAAATAAATATTATTTATATTTTGAAAAAGTTATGAGTATTGTTTATTTATTTAAATAAATCATAATCAATATAATTAAACTGTTAAATTAAAAGTAATTACAAATTGAAGGACTATTTTATAAATAAAAAAGTTCAATGGCAAAATAGCATATTGCATAATCTCATGCCAAATATAGAAGCAAAAATAGCATGATGCTATTTTGCAATAGCATATGCAATTGGGTTGGAGCAAAAATTATGGCAAAATAGCATGGCAAAATAGCATATATGTCATATTTAGCATGGAGTTGGAGATGCTCTTATATCATTCTATCTTTAATATTCTCTCCATTTCAGAATGTAAGATGTTTTATGATTCACACAGTTATTAAGAAACAATAATTGTCTCTACTTTTATTCGTTGTTTTTGTTTATTTTTAATGCTAAAACTCAAAAAGTTTAACTTTTAACACACAATAATCATATTTCCAATGTAAATTGTTGCTTTTAGAAAGTTAGTTGCATTTAATAGAGTCTACAACATCTTATATTTTGGAACAAATAAAAAACCCAAAACATCTTATTCTGAAACAAAGGGAGTAGCATCCAATTGGTTGAAGTATCTATCTGGCTATCTGCTTATGTAAAAGTCAAACAACTTTATAGTGACAAACAAATAAAAAGGGAATCGACTCTAAAACACGCTAATTGTGTTTTAGATTTTGGTCATCGGTCATCACACTAATTGTGTTTAGTTAATAATGAGAATAATAATTAGGCAAGTGTATATGAGAATAATTTAGTGATAACCTTATCTTTGTATGACTATTCAGGTCCAACGTGGACAGAGAGGTACTTGGGACCTCAAGAACACAAAAAAGAAAGCTATGAAAGAAAAAGAAACAAATCTAACAATTGTCACCAGTTTCGACTCTAGATTTCAACAAGTTAAAGCTAAGCTGCATATGACTAGGCAACGGAGCATCGAATTTAAGGAAATCGAGTTCCGATACACCAGCATCTGAAGAAACCTCCAGTTTCTCCAAAAGCTGAGAGATATTCGGCAGCTCGATTTGCTTTGAATGGAGATGAAGGTGTGGCTCTTTTGATGATACATCTCCACCGTCCAGGTCCAAGCCAAAAGGAGAAGGTGATGGCTTGGTCGTGCTTTTGCCGGAAGAGACCAAAGGTTCCCTAGATTTATGAGCTTGCCATCCGTATTTATAGTCCCCGAGTATCGGTGTTCCTAGAACCTCTGCGCAGTGTACACGAAGCTGTTGCAATCCAAGAACAGTTTAAAAACAGATTGTTTTAAGAGAATAGTTGAAACAGAAACAGAAAATTTGTAGAGACCTGATGTTTTCTCCCGGTTAAAGGACGAAGCTCAAGCCATGTGTATCCTAGAAATCAACAATGCGCTAAAAACCTCAAGGCCAAATCATTTGGTTTAAGTTTAAACTGAGAAGAAAACAAAGTCGTTTGTCTAACTAACCAAGTGGAGAAGATTCAATCACTCTGTACTCGGTGATAGCATGCTGAGTAGAAACTAGTTCTCCGTTGTCATTAACTGTGATACGATCAGATTTTCCATCATCCACAACCACCTACTCGGACATTTCCACATATGTTTTAGCTTAGAATTTGCCTCCAGTAAAGCATCAAAAGCAATAGATTCAATGTGTACAAACAAATCAACTCAGATTGGGTGAAACTTTCTAGCTAACCTTTCTGAGTGGCGCTGAAATCTGTCCCCTTTGACGTCTTGGACACCCGATCACGAGTGCCAGATATTTTCTTTTCAAGGATTTTATGTTCTTTTTGACACCCTAAAGAAATCAAAGAATGAAGACAAATTTATTCAAGAAACATGACAAGCAAACTTCTCAAGTAAAGGAAAAGGTTGAGAGAGAAAGCCAGAGAGGTTTACATAAGCAGATGCACCAGATGTTTTCTCCCGGAATATAGAATGAAGAACTGTTGCAGCCGTCTGTGTTCTTCCCAATACCAATAGTCCACTACAGTCTCTGTCAAGTCTATGCACCTAATACACACACCATACTTCCATAAGCCAAAAGCTTAACAATTGACAAATTTTTTAATTCAGTGCATTACTATAATACTATGATTCTAAACTAACCAGCCGGGGAGATTCTGGTTTATCAAACTTCAAGCAAACGGCAGCGAGTTCGTCGATACTCGTTTTGATCCCAGTCCCGCCCTGTGCCAGAGCAACCGCCTATCAGTAGTATTCACAACCTCCAAGAACATGATACACGATCCAAGTAGGGTAATGACTTACTTGAACAGCCATACCGTGAGGTTTATTCAAAACAATAATGGCTGGATCCTGCCACATTAACTCACAATTTCAACATCTACCAATCTATATAAACATCGCTAAGAAAAAAAGAAAGTTGAGCCAAGTGTATTCAGAACCTTGTACAAGACCAAACTGCAAATGAATTTGCCTTCTTCTTCATTGCAATGAAATTCTTTCTTAGCAGGCGGCTGCTGCGGCGCAGCATTGTCTACTGACAAAGGAAGGTAAATTCTATCTCCTACATTCAATGATTCCTTTGCTGCCACCTTTAAGAGAGTCAGAATCAGGACCATCAGCTTCTAAAACATTTCTTGCTCCAATCAATAGATGAGAGAAGAGGAAAGAACATTTACCCTTTTAAGCTGGCTTCTTTGTAGCTCATCACCGTCGCAATTCAGAGACATTTCTCTTCTAACCTGAATCCAATTTACAATCTAAGAAATTGACAACCGAGGAGGAGGGGATGCAATTCGATTCAAATTTCAAATAGACTCTTAATAAGGCTAATTGATTGGAAGAGAGACTAGAAACCTGTCTTAGACGGAAGAGTTTCTGAACGAGGCTCCTAGGTAGATCGGGACGACAACGAAGAATCCACCGAAGCGCCGTCGATGAGCCATCCGTTGAGCCTTTGGCGGAGTCTCCGTCGGAAGAGAGCTCCTTTGCTACTGCGGCGGCGTCGACGGTGGGAGAAAAAGGAGGTAGAGTAAGCCATTTCCCTCTCGGATCATCGGCGAGAGCTGTGGTGTAGCTACGACGCTGATGGGATGCAGACAAGGCTCCGACTGGATCCCCGTAGGCAGAGATGGAAGGCGACGGAGAACGGAGATGCCGACGGAGAGTCGCAGTCGCGAGTCTCCATTTGGCCATTTTAGGGGTTTATGTTTAATCTAAAACTGAAATTTAGGGTTTAAGCCTTTAAGGATTGGAGAGCAGTGGGAGGTTGGGAAGAGGGAAGGGAACCGGTCATTAAATAATTTTTTTTTTTTTTTTTTTTTTTATTGTTGATTTTTGTGCTTTGAAAAATTGCATCACCACCAAATGAATTAGGTTGTAGACTTGTAGCTCATCATCTGATTGAGAGAACAGCTCAATAGCTCATCGAAAGGAATGAAATTGAAACGAAGGGAGTAGTTTGGAATCTCTTGGGTTCACATGTGTTTTCCTTCTTCGAGTTTCTTTTGGAATTTAGACATTAATTTCCCTTCTCTTATGCAAGCTTGTATACGATCTCCCTGACATCAAAATAACAATTAAGTATGAAACTTTGTATATTTTTAGAGGAAAAATAGTTATATAAAACAGAAAAACATGAAAAATTAAGATTCGGTAATGTACCTTATCAATTGCCACCGCAAAACGAGGGTTTGTCCGGGTGGAATCTTCTGATGTTTTTTTGAACGTAATGCTCACAACTTATCTCTAGACCTAGCTGCTGTTGAGGTTCCGTCTAAAAGGGTTTGAAACCAACAACCAGATCGGGTCTATTCTCATTCCTTCACCGAAGTGGTTGACGAGCTCAAAAGTTCTTTTTTTCTTACTTTTCGTGGCTGATTAGATCACTGAATTTGGTTCAAAGATACCAATAGGGGCAAAGCCTGATCACTCAGTAGGCAGAAATAAAAACAAAATTAAAAAATTAAAATAAAAACAAAATTTGGAAGGACACGTGTCAGATGGATAGACCATTAGGCGACTTCTGCTTTATTAGTACTAGGTTTAAGCCCGCACTATGCGCGGGTAGTGTTGTCACTTTTTTATTTTAATTTGTTTTTTGCATGTTTGTAAAACTTGTTTAATAAAATTATAATACGATAGTATCTCAATGTATTGTTTCTTTACTTTCTCAAGTTTTTTCACCACTCATGTGATGTGATGTATTCATTATGGGATTCATATCCGCTGGATTTTCACATAAACCAAAATTTTCCAACGGAATTTACCATAATTTTCACATATACCAAAAAATTTGTTTGTGTGTTAAAGTTACAAAAATATTCACAATTCACTTGCCACAAAAAAATAATGATATACTTATATATTATATCTAACTTGCTCCAAGTGATTATTAGTTTTATGATCTTTTAAAAAATGTATGAAAACCGAGAAAACCATCTTTAATTTTGATTTTATATAGTTTGCTTCTAAACCATTTTCATATTACATACTCTAAATTTTTTTCTTTTAAAGGATAATTTTTCTCAATTTTCAATGCATTTTTTTGAGTATTATTGATTAAATGTAAAAAAAAATAAGTAAAAATTATTGAATTGTTGTTGGTTAAATTATTTTGAAAATTGTTAATCACAAATAATACATTTTTAGTCTATATTTAATATAGTTTGTCAATATGAATGAAAACTTTAATTTTTTTTTAAAATTTTAAATAAAGAGTAAATTTTTGTTGTTTTTAGTAAGAACTTATATATCCAATGTTTTAAAAACCAGATCGGATGATGAATTTGATTATTATTTGGGTTGTGGGTTCATCCGGTCCAACCAGACTTTGCAATATTTGTTTATATTTATAATATTTTTTATGACGTATATGGCAATTTAGGTGAATATATATATATATATATATATTATATTTTATCATCAATATACATTACCATTTTTAGGTTTTTATTAAATTATAATTATTGAGAATCTGCTTTTGAAAACCCTTCGCCACCCATTGATATCATCCCCTTTTAACTTCTCCTTCGTTTGAATGGTTGTATCTTCTCAAATTCTAAGTTTCTTTAAAAAATATTTTCTCTGTTTCTTCACATTTTATTGTTGTAAGACATCACCAAAAACAATGGTGGAAGATTAAAAATTTCCAAAACCTGCTTTAATTAAATTGTTCGCTGGTTCAATCCGGTTCGGCAGCCTTTAACTGATTTATGGTTTTAATCAAAACCGGTTTTCAGCAATAACTCAAACCGGTTCAACCGGCTGGTCTTGTCCGATTATCTTTTTTTCTTGTATAGTTTGTTTTTAAACATTTTTCACATTGTATAAATTTGCTGTGTTTGCATTTTTCACATAAAGTAATCTATGCTGTTAATAAGATGAATGTCGTTGGTAGAAAAAGTTATAGTTTATACGCTGGGTTTTTAACTCATCTCGAAAGCGAAATTGCGCTCGAGAGTTTGAGTTAAATTAATAACTGTACATTCGAATTTTCGGCTTATATAATGTAAAGTTATTTCCTCTCATTTCGATCGTTATATTGGAGTACCATATGTGCCTTTGTAAACATATATTGCCGGAACTAAAGCTGTTTAAAATAGCTATATTAGCTACTGTCACATTGTTTATAAACTTACCTCTGTATACGTACGGAACGCGTATCCAGGCGAGGTTTCCTTTTAATTTGTGTTTCGTTTCCGGTACTCGCCACGACGCCGTTTTCGCAATCATTTTCCCTCTACTGTATTTTTTTTAACCCTCCCAATTCGGCAATCCCGACATCAGCCATAGCTTTAGGACAACCGTATTTGCTGCATTTAGTTTGGTACAACAAAAACCCGCAGCTTTTGAGTCACCCAGCCTCATCTGAACGCCAACAGTGAGCACTGAGCACCATCGCGTGATTCCTTCTGCCCCATCATTATGACCCCAATTGTTTAACCCGATTTGTGATTACAATCCACTGGATACGCTGATTTACAGATGCTCGGAATAGTGTATGGCTAATTGGTGCGTTACAACAGAATGTCTGAAGTAATAGTCTCGTAACCAATTTTGTCGCTACGATTAGGCGTGCCTTTGATTACATATCTTGTTTTCGTTGCCGTATTTAGGACCCCAATTCTTACCGGATATCTAATTTTCTCCACCGTCTACCTCACTCTGTTATACCAGAATACCAAATCCCTCTTAAAGAGGGAAAAGAGAGTCAAATTCCAAAAAAGAGAGGGAGTTATTAAGTAATGTCAATGTCTTAAATTAGTTTTAGACTTCAGAGAAGCTGTGCTTTATTACTTTCTGTATATAGTCAGGAAAAAAAAAACTTAAAAACACCTATTTGCCTCTTATGTTCAAACATTTGAGGATAACAGAACAAAAATTGTTGCATCCTCTTCCAAATATCTTGATGTCTGTCCAAGGTCAATCTTCGATCTGCTCCGCTTTCAATTAAAGCTCAAGGCATATTCTTTCTCAACGATTCCAGCATCTCATTAAGTTGAAATGTCTTTGACGTTTTGCTTAACTGTATACTCTAAATCACCGCTGCTTCATCCACTTTAGCCTTTTGCTTCAAGTGCAAAGCTTCGGATAAAATGATAACACCCTCGCAAAAGGTAACCAGTAGTTGCCCGCAACAGACTGGAACTGTACCGAAAGGAGCTATAAAATAAGTAGAATGAATGTGTGTTCAAATGATATTATTGATAAGTGTATAGCATTACAATGTTAATTACCTTATGGTGCTTGTATTTCTCTCTGATATTCTGAAGAGAACCTCCTCTTTGCTCAAATATAAGTCATGTATGATTCCAAGACACAGTTGTAGATCAGCTGCTTTGTATTTTGTGTGCTCGTCTAACATGTGATTCTGTTTGCATCATTACGAAGATAGATCATTAGTTTCTTATTCAAAATACTTACTGAACATGTTAGGTATAAGAGACTGACAGAAAAGGCATACCCAAGGATGTTGTTTGGGACAGATGATGAATCGAGCGAGAAACACAGCAGAAGCAGCTAACATAAATGGCACAAACTTCAAAGCTTTGTAATCTAATATACTCAACTCCGAAAAATATGCAACACAAAGTCTGTAGCTGCAAGTGGGGCACCTGAATCGTAGACACAGAAACATAATCTTTTAGCACTTGACACTCTTTAGATTTCAAAAGATCAGTTTGAGGTTACTTTGAAATATTCTTGAGCAAGTCTTGTGAACCGTCGGCACATTAAAAAAAGGCAGCACAGACTAAAAAGGAGGACAATGAATCATACAAACCAATTACGTATTATCACCAAAACACACTGTATCATCACAAAAAGCAAACCTTATAAACGAATTTATTGCAGGCCTTCCCAATATGTATATATGCTTCCATCTTCACCACAGCTTGCTTCGTAAATAACATATCCGTAATGTCACAACACTCAGCAACATTAGGAGGACTCAACTCTTCACTACAGAATTTCATTCACTACAGAAAGCAAAGGAACCTTGGAATTTCAAATCTCCAAAAGAATAATGCAATCTGTAATTATCTGAAACAGTGATTTCCTATTTTTTTGCTTAAACAGCAATAGAAAGCCTTAAAACCAGTATAACGCTACTTACTTTCATGCAAAGTGATGAGTCTCTTCTCTAACTTCCCCATTAGCTATCCCTCAACAATAGACAACCAAAATTCGTTTAAGTTTTAAAAACAGAGACCGAGTGGTCGAATAGTAATACTTACGCAGAGAGATCACCCAGCTGACGCAAGATCCCGAGAATTCTAGAGCCTACAACGTCGTTAAGAGTCGCCGTGGAGTCTCCGCGATCGACATTTCTACACAGTACGACACAGCTGCATATTAGAAGTTTTAACACTTGTATCCTCGCCATCCGACAACGGAAATGACAGACAACTAAAAAGAAATCAGGGCTCTAAAACAAAGTGATAAAAGTTGCAAAAAGATCAGCATGAGAAGAGAAAGAGAGATTACAGACGGTATTGACACGGCTGCCCATCGTTTACAATCGATGATAAGCAAGATATATCAGTTTAAAGAAGATCATAATTATATAAAGCGTGAACCAATTAGTTTAGGAGCTAAATACCCATCCTTGATCTTTACGATAAAAGAACTACATGGCAAAAGAAATGGTAGCCACAAACCAGAATTAATTATGTCCACTATTATCAAATAAAATGAAACCAAAGGTTGATATGGGCGAATAAAAACAAAATATAGAGCAAATGGTTTACTTTGTCAGACAATGATAGACAAATTCCATGGAAACAGAAGATCATATCCAATTGTGCACTCTTTGCATACAAAAACTGGGAAAATACCTCGATTGAACTGGTAGTCACGTTGAACCTTAGCCAAGCTCTGCAGCCGTTTGTAGCCACAGTCTGAAGTCAGATGGAACACACACCAAAGGCAAAATTTTGTCGGATCCTTATATACAAACGTAATCTTCCTTAAGTTTTGAATAACACAGACAGAAACATCATCTTCCAAGACCAGCTCATGACCTGCAATAAACACAAGCAATTACTCTAGCTTTCCATTAGAGAGATTAGGATCAGTCATTAACTAACTAACTAACCCAGTTATTAAGTTTTTAGCTGACTGACGAGGCTTGCTTCTCGCTTTTGTAGAGTTTGATTTGTTCTTCTACTGTAATGATCAGCCACCTCTCGAGGAAAATTCTCGGTCTTATCATCATCTTCTAGAAACTGAGAATCATCTGATGATAATAAAAATTCAAAGAACTCAGATAAAAAAAAGAAACTTTATAAATCGAATGAGAAATCAAAATACAAACTTTTTGAGTGTAAAGAGACTGATAAGCAAATGAATATGAAAACCCAATTATAAATCAAAACCGAATGAATACAAAAAAAAAGAAGCGGGAATACAAAAAAAAAGAAGCGGGAACTAAACCTTATGGGATTAGTCTGACTCTTGAGGGGGAAGGAAGATCATAGCTTCAAGGAGAATCGTGATGTCCTTACAAAGGCATCTGAGAATTTTATAGAGAGAGGTCATCTTGAGAAGCCTGTGAGAGTCGCTGTGATTACAGCTGCAAACGCCTGAGCAAATGGGACAAACGGAGGCAACACTCTGGTGTAGAGGTAACAAAGAACAATATATGAGATTCGTAATGTAGCGAAATGACCACAAGGGGAGATTTAATTTCATTTAAATTACCAGAGATGCCATGCCTCTCTAATTAGAGAGCAGAAACAATAAGGTGGAAGAAGGTTGGAGTTTGACGGCTTACCAGTGGATTCAATAACGGTACTATATAGAGTGGTTGGGTAAGCGATTTGCAAAGCTACGCGGAGACCATAGTTGCGCCGACAAACAGAGACGGGATCTGCTAAACAGTTTGGTCCCAATTCGGAAAAGATACGAAAGTCACTCCTCTCCATGTGAGTAATTGAAGAGGGAATTAAAAATCCGTGACGAAACCGGAGATCGATGAGGAAGAGAATTTGAGTTTCGGAGATGAACGCAGATTTCGCGGACGGAAGGAAAGGGAAAGAGAGGAGGAAGAAGAAGAGGAAGAGACGGAACGCTATGTTTTTGGTCGGTGTACGCAACAGTGTCGTTTTGAAAGAGAATGAAGGAAAAAAAAAAAGTTCAGAAAACGCAGAAAGTGACACGTGTCCATCTCTCGTGCTGACGTGGCGATCAGCTGGAGAGATGCACAACTTTTATAGTATAGGATTAGATATTTGTTTATCTATATCTTTCTTATTATATAAAGTTGGATGCGCACAATATGGTTGCGACACGTAGGATTTTTATAAAATATAGGATTGCGACATGTGTCATTTTTAATATTACATCCGTTAAGATTGTGACACATGTATTGGGAAAAAGGAAAAAAAAAATAAAGAAAAAATTTAATCTTTTATAATAAAAACAAAAATTTATATAATAAAATTAAAAATAATGTAATAAAAAAATATCTATTAGTACATGAAATAGGTATTTAAACTAAATATCCTAAAAATCTATGGAATATGTTACATAAACCCCTATTTAAAAAAAAAAATCTTATTAGTACATGGAATAGGTATGTAAACTAAATTTTAATGAAAATTTCTATAATAAAATGAAGATAATGTAATAAAAAAATATCTATTAGTATATGGAATAGATATGTAAACTAAATATCCTAAAACTATATGAAATAGGTTACATAAACTTCTATTTTTAAAAAATCATATTAGTACATGGAATATGCATCTAAACTAAATATCATAAAACCGTATGAAATTGGTTACATGAACCCTCTATAAAAACTGTATTCTCTTTTTTCTCATTCACAAACTCATCAAAGCAAATTTTTTTGATTTTCTTTCTCTAATTTTAAAATCATGTCTTTGAAAGTTCAAGAGAACAATGGAGATTATTTGAAACAACCAACATTTTTTTTTTATAAATATTAATCAATTCTAGCGAAGGTCTTAAAAAAAATTAAATAAATAAAATATCAATAACAAATAAATCAGCTCAGCGGAAGCAAATAATAATTAAACAAGTCTAGCAAAATAATGCAAAACAATAAAACAGTAAACATCCTATCATCCCCCTCTTCAGCCTTGATTCCGCGATCACACAAATCTTTTACCTGCAACACATTGGAATGGAGTTGCGTAAGTATTTAATAAATACTTAGTGAGGCAATCACTCTGCCTACGAGCCATTTACGCAATTTACTAGATATTTAATAATATTTATAAACTCCAATAATTATTAAATACCATTTTCCAATTATTAAATAATTTTTAATAATTAAAACTCAATTTCTCAATTATTAAATAATTCTCATAATTAAATAATAATTTTCCATATTTTAAAATAATTAAAATAATTATTTTAAACCAATTAATTAAATAAATATTATTTAATTAATTAAATCCGAATTAAATCTATTTAATTCCATTAAACCAATTAAATTCAATTAAACCAATTAACCAATTAAATCAATTGAACCAAGATAAACCAGAATCAAATCAATTAAATTCAATTAAACCAGATTAAACCACACAAACACACAATTCATCACATAAACAACCAAAATATCATAAATAACAATTAAACAAAAACTCATCAAGAACAACCACAAACCAAATCTAATCTAGCAAATCACGGACCCACAGTCATGCACTCACCTTGACAATGATTGAAACTGAAGGAAAAAGGAAGACGATGAACAGTGCCGAATCGCGGATGAACAGTAACCCGTGAACAGTACCGATGAACAGTACCGATGAACAGTACCGATGAACAGTACCGATGAACAGTACCGATGAACAGTCCGATGAACAGTAAAATCGAAAATCTCTCCAAAAACTCAACTTTTCTCCTCTACAGCATCTGAACTCGAAAATTCTCCAAAGAGAAGACGGCTGCACTCTTTAAACTTGATTTTAGGGCTTTCTCCACTAAACCGACCCAAACCAATTCACTTAAATTGAACCGACAAAATTCCCAATTTTTGGTTTATGGATGTTACAACTCTCCCCCACTAAACTGGATTCGACCTCGAATCCCAACAAACGTCACAAAGACCACAAAACCCGACCTCGCAAGGCCGCAACACCGGAGATCCTCACCTGATCCCCGAGACTCGTCATAATCTTATGTCATAAGCACGTTCCAAGAAAATTTTACTCCTAACTCATCATCCTCAAACCACTTGTACTGAGGCCCACTTGCACCCAGACAAGTCCACACCGGTCCGCACTGAGGCCCACTTGCACCCAGACGCCCGAACCGTCCATACTGAGGCCCACTTGCACCCAGATGAACTAAACTGCTTATACTGAGGCCTACTTGCACCCAGATAAGCTACACTCAACTGAGGCCTACTTGCACCCAGAGAGTCTGCCAGAGAACGAAGTCTCCAAAAACATGATGAGTTATTCAGGATCGCAATCCTTAGAGTAAAAATTCCAAAATGTCTATAACCATAAGATTAGACCGTCTCACAACCAAAAACTGGTCAAACATGTGTAACATCCGAATACCACAACACAAGGCAAAATGAGGAAAAACTGCATCTCATTAAAACTCCAAAATGTATATCGTTACAACGAAAACGAAAATACAATAACACCAAAGCCAAAAAAACAACTGAGGCTACAAAGATGAAATAAGCTCACTCCTCGACCTGCTTGTCGAACCACTTCCTGAACTTCAACTTCATCTTTGCCTCTGGCTCCCAAGTCTCCTCTGTAGAACCACTGCAATCCCACAAAATCCTCAGTAAGGGAATCCTCTTGTTCCTCAGAACCTTTTCCCTCCTCTCTAAAATCCTCACAGGCACTGCCGGCACTGTCAAATCTGGCTGAAGATCCTCTGGAATCCTAGCCACTAACTCCTCTGTAGGGTGAAGACACTTCCTCAGCATCGACACATGAAAAACCTTGTGAAAGGCTTTCATAATCTCAGGCAACTCCAGCCTGTAAGCCAATGGCCCAACTCGCTCCACTACTGGAAACGGACCCATAAAACGCGGACTCAGCTTGTTCTCTGCTATGGATCTGTTAGGACCCCTCAACATAGCCATCTTGAGATAAACTCTATCTCCACCTGAAACTCAAGCTCTCGTCTGCGTCTATCTGCATAACTCTTCTGCCTATCCTGAGCCTCCTTCATGTTCAGCCTCACAACACGAACCTTCTCTGTCGTCTCCTGAACATAAGTAGCTCCATACATGCTGCGCTCCCCCACTTGGGTCCAGCATAGGGGTGTCCTACATGGCCTCCCATACAAAGCCTCAAATGGAGCCATGCCAATACTCGCCTGAAAGCTGTTGTTGTATGCAAACTCAACTAAGCTCAGGTGATCTGCCCAATGGCCACCCCAATCCAACACACACATCCTCAGCAAATCCTCCAAAGTCTGAATAGTCCTCTCTGACTGACCATCTGTCTGCGGATGATAAGCTGTACTCAGATGCACCTTAGTGCCCATCTCTGCCTGAAACGCCCTCCAAAACTCTGAAGTGAATCTGGGATCACGGTCTGACACAATACTAGCTGGCACTCCATGCAGCCTCACAATCTCTCGCACAAACTTCCTAGCCAAGACAGCAGCTCCATCTGTCTTCTTGATGGCCAAGAAATGTGCGGACTTAGTCAACCGATCCACAATCACCCAGATAGCATCGAAAGTCCTCGAAACAGGTAGTCCAACCACGAAATCCATCGTAATCCTGTCCCACTTCCACTCTGGAATGGGTAAACTCTGCAAAAGACCACCCGGAACCTGATGCTCTGCCTTCACCAAGGCACAAGTGTTGCACTTCGCAACCCAGTCTGCTACATCCCTCTTCATCCCGACCCAATGATAGTACCTCTTGAGGTCATGGTACATCTTGGTCGCTCCCGGATGAATGGAAAACTTGCTCGCGTGAGCCTCTCCCAAAATCTGATGTCTCAACTCCACATCCTTAGGCACACAAACTCGCCCACGAACCAAGATAGTCCCATTCGCAGAGACCTCATACTCAGAACCAGTCACTCTCGTCGCATCCAGCAAACTCTGATCACTCTGCTGAGCAACTCTGATCCTGCTAAGTAGATCCGCCTGATCCACTGCCTCTAAACCCAAAGGCTCCTGCGAAATGGCACACAAACGCAAGGTACTGATCTCGCCAACTAGAGACTCCACATCTCGCTCAACTGCGGAATCATACCTCCGTCTACTCAACGCGTCCGCCACTAGGTTAGCCTTGCCCGGATGGTAGTTAATGCTCACCTGATAGTCCGCCAAGAACTCAACCCAGCGCGTCTGTCTCGCGTTCATCATCGGCTGAGTGAAGATATGCTGCAAACTCTTGTGATCCGTGAAGACCTGTACTGTCTCACCTAGCAAGTAAGACCTCCAAATCTTCAACGCGAAGATCACTGCTCCCAACTCTAAGTCATGTGTAGGACGGTTACGCTCACTGCCCTGCCACTGTCTCGAAGCATATGCTATCACTCTGCCCTCCTGCATCAGCACACAACCAAGACCAATGCCTGAAGCATCTGTATACACCATGTAAGGCTTCCCTGGCTCGGGTAACGCCAACACTGGTGTAGTAGTCAACATCTCCTTGAGCTGACTAAAGCTCTCCTCACACTCAGCTGACCAAACAAAAGGGACATCCTTCCCGGTCAACTTCGTCATCGGCTGCGCCATGGTAGCAAACCCCTTGACGAACCTCCTGTAGTATCCTGCCAAACCCAGAAAACTCCTGATCTCGGTGGCACTACTAGGTCTAGGCCAATCTCTGATAGCCTCAATCTTAGCCGGATCCACAGAAACTCCCTCTGCAGAAACAATGTGGCCAAGAAATCCCATCTCTCGCTGCCAGAAACTGCACTTGCTCAACTTAGCAAAAAGCTTCTGCTCCCGAAGCTTCTCCAGAACCAACCTCAAGTGAGTCGCATGCTCCTCCTGACTCCTCGAGTATACCAGAATATCATCAATGAAAATGATGACGAACACACGTCCAAATACTCCCTGAACACGTCGTTCATCAATCTCATGAAGGCTGCCGGCGCGTTAGTCAAACCGAAAGGCATAACCACAAACTCAAAATGCCCATAACGCGTCCTGAAAGCAGTCTTCCTGACATCTGCCTCATCTATCGGGATCTGATGATACCCCGATGCCAAGTCAATCTTGGAGAACCAAGTAGCACCCCTCAACTGATCCAACAACTCATCAATCCTCGGGAGTGGGTACCTGTTCTTCACAGTGACTCGGTTAAGACCTCTGTAATCGATACAAAGTCTGAAACTCCATCCTTCTTCTTCACAAACAACACCGGTGCTCCCCACGGTGAAACACTCGGTCGAATGAACCCCTTAGACAAAAGGTCCTCTATCTGCTTCTTCAGCTCTGCCAACTCAGCTGGCGCCATCCTGTAAGGCGTCTTCGATATCGGTGCTGTCCCCGGCTCTAACTCAATCGTGAAAGGATCAGACCGAGATGGTGGTAATCCCTTCAGTGACTGAAAGACATCCTCAAAATCCTGGACAACCTCAATATCTCCCATAACAACTCCAGCTCCTGACTCAGACATAGAAATCGTCGCCAGATACGCCTCACAGCCCCGCTCTAACAACTGCTCGGCCTGAATAGCAGATATCACAATACTCCCGGAAGTCGGTCTCACTCCCTGATAAACCAACCTCCCTGCATCTCGCTCGAAGACCACTCTACCTCTGTAGCAATCCAGATGAACTCTGTAGTGTGACAACCAGTCCATCCCGAGAATAACGTCATACAGCTCCACCGGACTGATGACTAAGTCTGCTGGCATTGACTGCCCCGCAATCTCGATCTCGACTCCTCTAGCACGGCCCAAAGTAGACAAGAATCCACCTCCCGCCACCTTGACCATGCCCGCGCTCTCGCCCGCGCTACTCCGGATGCCACTCTTCTCGGCACGCTCCGGTGTAATGAAGCAATTCGATGCTCCAGAGTCGAATAAAACGTGGGACTCAAAACCGCCCACTAACAAGGTCCCTACACATTCAATTGCGTTGAGAACCTCCACAAGACTATCACAGATAAAAATGACTAACAGACAATACACAACAACAATTCTATACTAAGAATTTACAAAGTCTGAGTCGAAGATTTACCTGTGATCTGTCCGGTCTGACTAGTCCCGCCAGTCTCCACTGAAGAGTAACCCCGCGGCGCCGGTGCAATCTGACCCAACGGCTGCACTGCTGCGATCTGACTCACTGGCTGAGCCGCTACTGGCTGAACCGAAGCCACCGACATACTCCGCAACTTAGGACACATGGGCTTGATATGCCCAGGCTCCTTGCAGTAGTAGCACACCCTGGTGCTGACTCTCTCTGGGACAACTCGAAACACGATGCTCCGTGCTCCCACAACAGGAACCACGAGGAAACTGACTAGCACCAGAAAACTCCTCTCTACTCCTCTTCTGACCCTGCGCAGGCAAACCGCCCCTGCCAGAACCAGAACTGAAACTCGAACCACCTCTGCGCTGCTGCTGCTGCTGCGCGGCTGCTGATGCTGACCCCGAGGCTGGGTAGCAGAAGCAACTGCTGACGGCACAGCCACCGGACCAACTGGCCCACCAAGATCCGCCTCAACCGACGCGGCCAACTCTACCAGACTCGCCCTCGAAGTGTGCATACTACTCCTGCATAGAGTCCGAATATCCTTGCGAAGTCCCTCCAGAAATCTGTTCGTCAACTGATGCTCAGACCTCCATACCAAAGCCCGCATGCACTAACAGACGGCTGAACTCCTCATCATACTCGCGTACAGAACGCGAACCCTGCTCAATGCCCATAAACCGCATCTGAAGACGATCACGAGCCTGCCTCGGGAAATACTTGGCGTTGAACTCCACAAGGAAGTCGCCCCAAGTCCAAAATGCCCTCCGGCCCACCGCGGCCTGCCACCACAAATGAGCATCGCCACTCAAATAGTGGACCGCTAACTCCACCCAGTACTCTATCGGACAACGGATCGAATGAAAGTTCCGCTCCACTCTCTGACGCCACGCGTCTGCCTCCTCTGGACCAACTCTACCCTCGAAGAAAGGCGTACCAATCTTCTGCATGTGGCCCATAAACTCCAAATAACTGGTCACACCCGCATCCACAGCCTCCGGCTGCGCAACGCCTGCAGCAACATGCTGCACCTCTGCCACTGGCGGTACTCCTGGAGCCCCCTGTGGAACCACCGGCGGAAAACGAGCCAACAGCTGCGTCAGCAACCCCACCACTAAGTCATCATGACCCGGAGCCGGAGCGCCACCCCCACCCGGAGCAGCCCCCGCTCCCAAACCAACACTCGCACTGGCATCACTGACTGGGTCACCGACGCAGTATGCACACTCGGTGCCGCACTCTCTCCCGACTCCTCCGGAAGTCCACGACCACGACCTCGGCCTGCTCGGCCTCCACCAGCTCTGCCGCCACGGCCAACTCACGACCTCTAGCACCGCGCCCTCTCGCGCCACGACCTCTAGGAGCTCCGTCCATCTCACTGCATGGACCCGAACATGAGCAACTAGACAATAACACAAAACACAAACACCAAAACTCACCGCGGAATCTCCTTTAGCTGAAGGGGATGATACTAAGCCTAGCAATTCTAGCTGTCCTAAAACCGTCTAGGCTCTGATACCAAAATGAAACAACCAACATTTTTTTTTTTTTAATAAATATTAATCAATTCTAGCGAAGGTCTTAAAAAAAATTAAATAAATAAAATATCAATAACAAATAAATCAGCTCAGCGGAAGCAAATAATAATTAAACAAGTCTAGCAAAATAATGCAAAACAATAAAACAGTAAACATCCTATCATCCCCCTCTTCAGCCTTGATTCCGCGATCACACAAATCTTTTACCTGCAACACATTGGAATGGAGTTGCGTAAGTATTTAATAAATACTTAGTGAGGCAATCACTCTGCCTACGAGCCATTTACGCAATTTACTAGATATTTAATAATATTTATAAACTCAATAATTATTAAATACCATTTTCCAATTATTAAATAATTTTTAATAATTAAAACTCAATTTCTCAATTATTAAATAATTCTCATAATTAAATAATAATTTTCCATATTTTAAAATAATTAAAATAATTATTTTAAACCAATTAATTAAATAAATATTATTTAATTAATTAAATCCGAATTAAATCTATTTAATTCCATTAAACCAATTAAATTCAATTAAACCAATTAACCAATTAAATTCAATGAACCAAGATAAACCAGAATCAAATCAATTAAATTCAATTAAACCAGATTAAACCACACAAACACACAATTCATCACATGAAACAACCAAAATATCATGAAATAACAATTAAACAAAAAACTCATCAAGAACAACCACAAACCAAATCTAATCTAGCAAATCACGGACCCACAGTCATGCACTCACCTTGACAATTGATTGAAACTGAAGGAAAAAGAAGACGATGAACAGTGCCGAATCGCGGATGAACAGTAACCCGTGAACAGTACCGATGAACAGTAACGATGAACAGTACCGATGAACAGATGAACAGTGCCGATGAACAGTAAAATTCGAAAATCTCTCCAAAAACTCAACTTTTCTCCTCTACAGCATCTGAACTCGAAAATTCTCCAAAGAGAAGACGGCTGCACTCTTTAAACTTGATTTTAGGGCTTTCTCCACTAAACCGACCCAAACCAATTCACTTAAATTGAACCGACAAAATTCCCAATTTTTATTTTGGATGTTACATTATTTGACTCTAGGTTAATTGGATTGAAATCGAAATTATCGATGTACTATAGTACGTGTTATTAGAAAGTGGGAAGTTAGAAATCCTAAAGAAAATAATATTTTTATGAAAGTTGACCTTCTATTACTTGATAAAAATGTTAGTAACATCTTATTATATTGATATAGATAATCTTATTATAACATTGATTTATATTAAAGTTACTTTTGTTTGAAACAAGAAAACACAATTCAAGTTTTTGTTCATTATTCACTACTTCATAATTTTGGAGATCAGATGGCCGAAGGAAACATCATCGAAATTGAAATTTGTAATTTTAATCTGCAGTCTGCTGATAAAAAGCTTCTATTACTTGATGAAAAGGTTAGTAGCATATTATATTGATATATATCTTATTAAGAAAAGAAGGGAAAAAAAAGCTCTCATTAAGAAAAGAAAAAAAATTGTTACATCCATTAGGAAAAGGAAAAATAAAACATATTTCAAATACGAAAAGGAAAAAATAATAATATATAGTAAGCTATAGTCTTCATGATTTAATTGTGATTCTATCTTTTGTTTAAACTTTTCTCTCATTAAGAAATAAATATAATGTATTTGAAAGTTCATGATATCAATGAAGAATATTTAACTCTAGATCAGTTGGATCCAAATCAAAATTATTGTTGCTACTTGTGTCTAATATTTTGAAAAAAAAGTGTTAACACAAGAAAATTGGAAAAATGTATAAAAAAAGAAACAAAATAATTAGAAAACAACTAACTAATAATGGAAAGGAAATTTGATAATGGCCTTATTCAAAAACAAAACCGAAAAAATAATATAAATAGAAAAATAATAAAATAATTATTGAGCAACTAACTAATATTAAAAGAAGAAAAATTAGAATGACCTGATATTCTATTTTTTTTTTGATAACCATGGGGATCCTAAAGCTTTCTAGGCCCAAAGACTAATCCCACGAGGCCCACGGCAGTCCACCTGATATTCTAATTTTAATAGTTTTATTTTTTTTGTTAGGTAAAAAAAGATTTAAAAAAAAAATTCATCAATCGAAATCTCTTCAATGGAATAATAAAAGTTTCATGAATTAATCAATTAATCAAACTTACACATGTGTAAGTCTTTCAATTTTAGATAAAAGTAAAAAGATAACAAATTAATTCATTTTTCGTATCATGAATTCAGAAAATATGTCAATCTTATTATATAAAGCTGGATGCGCGCGACGTGGTTGCGACACGTAGGATTTTTATAAATTATATGATCGCGACATGTGTCACTTTTAATGTTAAAACCGTTAAGATCGTGACATGTGTTTTGAAAAAAAAATTATTTATTTTATAAAATATTAGAAAACGAAAATTAAGAAAAAAAAAAATTTTAACATATAACATTAAATATATATATATATATTAAAATAGATTAACATTAAATTTTTACATTTTTTTAAACAGGAAAACACAATTCAAGGAAAAATAGGAAACAAATAGCAATTTTAAAAAAAAAATGTTATATCCATCAAGAAAAGGAAAAAAACATACTCCCAATACGAAAAGGAAAAATAATCGATATTCAGAAAAACAAATAATAAAAGAAAAAATGTTACATCTGTTAAGAAAAGGAGAAAAAACATATTCCCATTAAGAAAAGAAACAAAAAAAAATATATAATAAGTTATAGCTTTCATGATTTATATCTGTGATTCTATCTTTTGTTTAAACTTTCTCTTTTATTACAAAATAAAAATCATGTACTTTAAAGTTCAAGATATCAATGAAGAATATTTAACTTTAGATAAGTTGGGTAGAAATTGAAAATTTTGTCGCAAAATGTTTCTAATATATGATCATGTGATAACATGTGTTAACAAAAGAAAATTAGAAAAATGTAATAAGATAAATAAAAAAACTAACAAAATAATTTTAAAACAACTAACTAATTATGAATAAGAAAATTTATAATGGTCCGAGGCAAAACAAAATTGAACAAAAAATATGATAAATAGAAATTAACAAAATAATTATAACATTAAAAATATATCTAATTGACCGATATTCTAATTCTAAATAGATTAATTTTCTATTTTTTGGTAGGTAAAACAATATTATGAAAAAGATTTCATCAATCGAAATCTTTTAAATAGAATAATCAATTATAATTAAATATTATAATTATAATAGTCAAAATAATCTTTTGAATATTATTCTACTTATTTTAAAAGTGACCAGATTTTTGTTTAGTATTTTACTATGATTTATTTTAATTATATTAAAATAAACCTGCGTATACATGGGGCCTAATCTAGTTACAGAATAATTAATAAAATTTATTTAATTATACTTTTGAATAACATATTTAAACAGAAAAATTATATAGAGTAACTTATAATAAAAAATCAAATTTTCTGATATTGAATGTTATTGTATTAACTTAAATAAAATTAATTTAATAGTTATAATCAGTATCATTTATATCTAATTTAAATTTACTCACAATAGTAGAAATATAATTTTATTTTATATTTTATAAAAAGATAAAATATAATAAATAACAGTATATAAACTCTTTAATTAACTTTCTAAGCTATTGAGTATTTGATTGGATACAAAATATTGGAACCAATAATAAGATGATATCTTATATATAATAGGAGAGTTTTCTCTCCAAAAGATCTCACAGAATTTCTTTTGCCTCGGAATATAGTGAGAAAGAAAGAGAGGTACTGAAACTTTTATAAACTTTTTTTTGGGTATGAATGTTGCTAGAGGTGAAATTAGCACATTTCCATTAGCCCGTCACCGTTAGTAATATCATAAAGGCCAAATTCGACTTTAGCCCTAACCTCCTCGACAAAATGGCAAGACTTGAGGAGAAAGGCACAATCCATGAGGAAATGTAAACAAAGCCTCATGACGACTCGAAGAATGGAAGGAAATCTAGAACAAGAGGAAATTTTCCATATCGCTAAAGAGGAAGTTTTCCATCTCGCTAAAAGGAGAATATTCATCAAAGAGCTGACCTATCAACGCTATATAATGAAGACCCCCACTCGTGGAAAGGCATCCGAAAATATCCCAGCAGAATCCGCTACTCAGCTAAAAGAAACCTAGGCAATATAATTTTCTTTGTTTTCCTTGTGTTCATCATTGTTCATCTCGTCAAGATTGTTGACGAGACCACCTCCTTTTGTAACCTCTTTGATATTCTTCGAGTTAATTAAACACCTAGTTCCCTTTTTTTTTTTTTTTGAACAACTTCTCATTAGAATAACTTAAATTGCAATTATAAGAGTAGAAAGCTGATAACCCTTTGCCAAGGAGTAGAAGCAACTTGATGCAGAAAAGAAATACAAAGCAATAAAAGGATAGGTTATACAGTTTTGATCAAAGATAAAAACTGGAAGCTTCTTCAAAAGGGCTCCTATGATCGTTTTAAAAAACAATCTCAAGTTCTTTTGCTGTTGAAAGCAAGCGAACAAGACGAATAGCTCGTGTTGAGCGTTTAGAGTCGATCTCCATAAAGGAGAGAAGCGAATTCAGAGATACACCGGTGAGTTGGTAATACTCTAGAACCGCGAAGAAGAGCTTGGAGATGCGCCTGATTAGCAATATTCCAGAACCCAAATCGGTAAGGACCGATGAAAATCCCGGCTGATGGTCCGGTAGATGAGACATTGAATTGCATGATAACGTGTCGACCGCTACACAAACGCAGAAAAACGGTGAAGCTTGAGCGGGAGATGAGCGGAGCTCGGAGATTGCAGTGTTGCAACTCAACTCCGGGAAGGACATCGGAGAAATGGACGAACTTGGCCCATGGAAGCACGGCAGTGAAGGGATGTTGTGGACAGCCGCCACTGAGACATGAATGAGGGGAAAACGCGGAGTTGGATCTCGGCGGTGTCTCTCCAGAGTGAAACAAAGATACCACAGCGGAAGAGGTTTTGTCGCCATCAAGGGCCGACAGAGGAGAAGAAACGGTTCTTTGTGTTGTGACTGGAAATCCCGAGATGGTCAAGCTACTTCGGTCAGTTGGAGGAGGATTGTCGCCGGAGAATTGAAATTTGAAGCAAACATGGCAGCCGGCTACCTCTAACTCCATGCCTGAGAAAGTTAGAACTAGGACAAACTCTATCGACTTGTGCTTAGGATATGGCAGAGGAAGAGCGCATAAACTAGTCGGAGGCGGAGGGTTACTAA